CTGATTTTTTGGGAGGGGGGACAGAACAAGCTTTAAAGGACATTGTTGACATATTATCAGATGTGGACAAAGTACACAACTCCAGTACTTGAGTCTGTAAGTATAGACATCATCTTTAGGAAAAGATCATGGTTTGGATTAAAATAGTATATAAGTAACATAACTCACGTAATTTGAATTAGTTCAGGTGTACAGGTTGAAACTGCTCAAGGCTTACAGAAAATTAGTCATGTGATCACTTGAAAAGCAGTTTAAAGGGTTACTCCTGCACTTTGCACTCTAAGTGTAATTCTTAGACGGTTTGCAAATACAAGACATGCTTTTCTCTTCTTCTGTTCTTAAATTATGAACCTTCAATCTGGCTTTAAGTTTGCATTGTCCACTTCCTCTGTCATTATCTGTCTTGCATTAGTTTTATCCCAGTTTGCTCATTCCTCAGCTCATTTTAGTTCTCCTTATTTATATTCTCTGCCTGGCCTTTTTTCTCTTTCTCTTCATCTCACTACATCAAGTTCTGCTTTTTCTACTTCACTCCTCTTGTCCTCTTCTTTGGTTTCTGTAGGAATGCCATAGGAAGTGCACCACCCCAGCCAGCTGTCCAGAATAATTCACTGGTAAGAAATAAAACTTTTAAAACACTGTGCGGGGTGAGGTCAGGGTGAAGAAGGGGTGCAACACTAAGGCTTAAGAATTAATAGATTACAGCTGTCTAATGAAAGTCTGCCAACTCAAGTTGTAGTAATTTTCATGTTTTTACTCATTTTTACATTTTTGGATCATGATACCCTTTCTATGAGAACACCACGTGTAGAATAATTGGGCTTAAGTCATGTGTTAAGTCCACATAATGTCACTGCACTCTATTAAAATACTGTAAACTCAACGTCGTCCTTATCCACATTTGAATTAATTCACTTATTTCAATTTTCATGTGTTTTCTTTAAAGACCCCCAAACTATGAGAATCACCATTTCCACCATCTCCTGAAAATAGTATGTCCTTAGCTTCTGAATGCTCCACAGTGTCCACCAGCTAAATGCTAACTTTTTGCACCAGTTTGCTGCTGGACAGATAGTTGGTTTATTTGAGCATTGTCACTGAAAACCGCTGACTATTGTTGCCGAAAAGAGGGATGAAACTGAACCAAAACAGTACATTTTCGGTTCGGCAAACCAAAGCAATGAGCTGAACTTTAGAGTTCAGTAATCTATTACTGTTCATCACTACAAGTTACAGTAAACCTTTTACATTACACCAGACAGTTGATCCATCGTTAATTTAAAAACAATGATTATAGCCACTTTCCAGGGTGAGTCCAAGTGTCAAGTCTATAGATCTTCTTCACACATCCAGAAACAATTGCCAGGCTGGGATCATTCTCAGTGTGAGGTTCCCGTTTAGAATTGATATGATAAATGTCCTTTTTGTTTTTACAATTATTTTCATTACCAGAATTTGATTTGGAGTCACAGTTAGAGGAAGGATGTACTTCCATTCTGCAAGTCCTACTTCACCCCCACCCCCAAACATACAGCATCAGTGACTGAATGCAGGGAACGGCCAGCAGTCACCAGCCTGCAAGGATCTGCGAGGGAGCTGAGGATCAATTGAGCGGACTAACTCCTTTACTGAGAGTGTTGTGTTGGGGGAAATGTTTGTAGTGAAATGAGAAGTGAGTCAGACGGTGTGTGTGTGTGTATGTGTGGTGCAGACATTCCTCAGCAGATCAGAATTTGTACCAGAGAAATGTAATGACAGGCCTGCTGGGCCCAAGAACCAGCTCTGTATAGGGAACAGAGCGCACCACATCACATGTTCTCTCTCTTACACACATACACACACACACAAACCCTTCTCTCCTTCCTCTCCCATTCCCCTCCTTCTCTTTGGCTCTCTCTTGTTCTTTCCATCTTAAAGCCCCAGTTCTACTCCTCATGCCAGTCTTTGTTGGTGTATTCCTGGCATCACTGACTCTCCTTAGGGGCAAACATCCTGTGTCCAGAATTAACTCCTGGCCTCTTTTCCATTCTTTTATAAGCCTCTGTGGTGCTGCAGTGTTTGTATATATTCCAGAGGCCTCTCCCTGCCTGCTCTCTGTGTTGGAATCACCAGTCTGGACCAGTCTGCCTCCCAATCACTGTTTTTGCAGATTCTTTGCAGGTGATGCACCTGCCTGGCAGAGACAGTGAAATGGGATTACAGCTTTATTTTTCCACCCCGTGTTTAGCAAATGTAACACAGAGAACAAAAATGTGGGCACATCCAAGTTGGATTTTTATGTTTCCCTTCAGGGTGTAATCACTGAAACAATTACTGCCATAGTCATTTTTGTTACTGGAAGTGCCTGCAAGGAAACAAACGTTCTCAACTTCTAACTGACTTCCAATAGTATTCCAATACCTCAGGCTCGCTGTGTTAAGAGAAAGAACATGTCTGCCCTCTCGTGGACAAAGCAGCCAATAATGCAACACTTCTTCTTTAGAGCACACATTGATTTTTAACCAAAGGTGCTGACCGTAAATGTGAGTAATTGTTCAAAAGGAGTCTGCTGCCTTTAGTTTGAAGTATTAAATTCACCACGGCTACCTTCTCCCACAGGGTTTTATTTTTGCAACAAATACAAATATCCAATACAGTACACAACGTTTGCAGCAGTTTGAAACAGGTAATGGACAGTAAATAATATTTAATATTCCAAAATATGCCTGCAGCCTTAGTGGTAAGAGCTGTGTGCCTGATTGCTGCTCGAGATCGTCTGGCAGGGCCCGACTAACGGTTACAAAACCTCGACTTCTCACTAATGGGGTTGAACTCCCTGCCTGTGGACCTCAAGCAAATAAACTCAGTGTCCCCTTTAACCCTTAAGACTCGCTTTTATCTTAAAGAGGTGGTATTATGCTCATTTTCAGGTTCCAAATCTTATTTAGGGGTTGTACCAGAACAGGTTTACATGGTTTAATTTTCAAAAAACACCACATTTTTCTCATACTGCACATTGCTGCAGCTCCTCTTTTCACCCTGTGTGCTGTACGCTCCGCTCTTGAGCTACAGAGTGATGCATCTTACTTGTACATAATCTTTGTTGGGAGTTGCACATGCTCAGTTCCCAGGTAAGGACTACTAGCAAATCAGAAGCAGAGAAGGGCGGGTCGTAAGAAACAAGGTAGTGTGACCCAAATCAAAGCCGCTTCAGACTGCGACCGTAACCTAGCAGATGGTATAAGTTACTCACAACCACAGAATATCATTGTTCCACATCTTACCATAAACCACTATAAAAATCACCATATTTCAACTAAATTTTACATAAAAATTCCAAAATCCAAACAATTTGTCTTTAATAGCTATAACTTTAGCTGTGTTAGCCAACATTTACAACAACTCCGCACTTGAACAGTCTGTGAAGTTACATTGCCTTGTTTATTTTAAATATAATTCACAACCAATAAAGCATACTTACAGGTTGTGAATTTCCAGGCCCAAACAGAGTCGGAGTTGCATAGTTTTTAGAGGACTAAACGTTGAACTGTTTCCGGTGTTCTGACGATCTATGCTGCCTTGCCGAAAAATGCTACCATAGCGCAAATCGATAGACTCGACTCTACTCAGCCCTGCTTCGTTTTCCATTGCAGACAGTACCCAGAGATAGTACGTAGCTTATCGTCATAGCGACGCCACACACAACTGCCGCGACGTAATGTTCAATGCGACACACACACCAGCGACCCACACAGCTTTCTCTTTTTTAAGTTAAAGCGTTTCAACATTACTCAGAATGTAAAGACAGATAAGCGGTATGAAAACCTTCCAGCTGTGTTTTCCTCTGCCGTTGTTGCTGCAGCGGTCTGTGTGACGGCGGGAGCAGAGGGCTCTGTGAGCGGGCGGCTGGCCGGCCTCACACGCTCCTCCCGCGGGTTGGCGCAGGCTTCCCCCGCAGCCACTTGCAGAGCTCCTCAACTCCGAAAATATTCAAGCACATTTTTGTTTCGCCATCACTTTTTGTAAAACTGTCAATATTCGAAATCTACACAGCTGATTTCTCCCCTCAAAACTTCTCAGAAGTGGATTTAGTGAAATTCCATACAAAAACTGTAAGATATACCCACTGAACCACTAGCTGCTTGGCAAGCTTTATGATGCATTTTCATTGTGACGTCACAAGTAAAGGAAGTGAAGGGCTGGACTACAAAGGAGCCGTTTTCAAGCGGTTCAGAGCAGAGCTTTCTGTGGGAGATGGGAACTCCCTTTGGGCTTTTTCACTTTGCAAATCTGTTACATGCACAAAAAAGATATATAACTCCATAAAGGAGAGGGGAAAAGCCAAAAAGCATAATACCACCTCTTTAAGGCATTCTCTTAACTGATGGTTGGCTATTTGCTGTAATTATTTAAATAGTTTTATCTTGTTCCTTATGTAATGTTTTGGATTGTATTTTCTTCTATTATTTGTTTGTATTGTAAAGCACTTTGTAACTTGTATTTGAAAGTTGTCATATAAATAAAGTTACTGTTATTTAAGACATCAAAAATACAATTGCAAAGGTGAAACATCTGTCCAAAAAAACCCCAACATCATGACTTCTTAAATATAATATTACTTTGCAAACAAATCATTTTCACTCCTCACTCTTGTCTAAAAGCAAATTCTCCACAACAAAGGTTTTCTTCCTAAAACACATCTAAAGTTTTTAGAATCATCCAGCCAGAAAAACTCTTGATGACCCTTAAATCATAATATAATGACCACTAAAACATAAAATGGACTTTGTCTATCTCGTCTCAATCACATAACAGACGAACCCTTTTCTCTTCAGAAAACCTGCCTCTCTACAGCTAATGGCAATATACCTGAACCTCACTGTACGCACAATCTTTGTGAGAAATTCTGCTTCACATTGGTAATTGTTTTTCACAAGACGTGTTAACAGACCGTCTTTCCTTATACATAAGAAACTATTTGTTTTGAGCATCATAAAAATTGCAATTTGTTTTGTAAAATAAAAAAACAAATCAAAAAACATCTTTAATAGATTTCATCTCTCTAGCCCAGGGATGTCCATAACAAATGTCTCCGTTAAAAGTCTGAGTGATCAGGAAATTTCACAAGTCAAAGTTGAATCATCTCACATCTATGTCTGACTCTGTAATGAATTATCCTCTAAATCCACTAAACACTAATATCCTTAAAAGACAAAGGCTCTTGCCACTATAATGGAATATTGATATTAGTGCTTTGTCCTGGTTTGCCACCAGTCAGCCACAACATTAACAACAACTCTTTTACGCTCAACTAGTAAGATTATATCAGCTGAATAAACTAACATGCTCACAATCGAATAATCTACTTTAACACCCACATTACAACATTTAATTTGAAAAGCTAAATAATTAATATCCACAACCTCTCATGTTGCTATGACTGCCTCAACCCTTCCGGGAAGACTTTCTACAGTATTTTGGAACTTGGCTGCAGGAATTTTCTTACACTTTCATCCGATGTTGGGAATGGATGTCCACATATCTTGGCCATACTTTATAGTGTATCTCTGTGGACTCAACAGGTCACTGGAGAAAGAAGAGGTTGATGACTCTTGCTCCGAGCCAGCACTGTAATGTCTTTCACAAAAAGGTAATAAGGATCATCTAGACCAGGTAAAAGATCAGTTTCTGGCCAGTCATCAGGCCAAGTTTCTCTTTCTTTCATGCTTTCCTCAGCCTCAGTGGCGAGCTCAGCCCCCCTCTCCTCCTTCCACAGCCTCTTGTGCTCCTCCTTGAGCTCGTTGTAGGTGCACTGGAACGTGTGGAAGATAGATGTGGAAGGGAAAGACAAAATGAGGATCCCTGATAAGATGCTGATCAGTGCCACAAATTGGCCAGGGATGCTGTGGGGCACCATGTCACCGTACCCCACCGTGGTCACCGAAATGATGGACCACCAGTATGACGCTGGGATGCTGCTGAAGCTGAGCTGGGGGGATTTGGCACTGTTTGGAGCCAGCTCACTCTCAGCGAGATGCACTAGTGGGGAGAATAGAGTCACCGAGATACACACAAAGAGCAGCAGCAAGCTGAAGTCCGTCATACTCCGGTGGATAGTCAGCCCCAAAGTCTGCAGACCCAGAGAGTGCCGGGCCAGCCTCATCACATACAGTATACGCAGGGCCCTCATCATACGCAGGATTAGCCCCAGTTTATCCATTGTGCTCTTTCCTGCACCGGCCACAATGTCCTGCACAGACTCATCTCTGAGCTCCAGAAACAGGGATACATAGTAGGGCAAGATGGCAGCAGCATCAATGATGTTCAGAGGGCAACGGACAAACTCCAGCTTGCTCTGTGCGTGGAAAAATCGCACCAGAAACTCTAGGGAGAACCAAGCAACACAAAAAGACTCCACCATAAACATGTCGCGGCACTTTTGGGAGCATTTACCCTGTGGAGAGAACAAAAGACAAAAGTACTGATTACATTTTACAGACCTACAAATGAGGTGAAGTTTCAGTAAAAACAAATCTTAAATTGCTAAACTACCCTGCTAGTTGTTGTGGATGTTTCAGCTCCTTAACTCTCATTGCAGGTCATATTAGAAAGGAAATCAACTTGTGACCTCGGGGGAATACGTTTCAATTAACAATTTGTAACCTTTGTTTTTTTTGAAGTTATGTCGTCATGTGTGGTGATGAATGTGTGAGCAGAAACTATTTTTAAAAGTCAAAATGTTTGCGCGTTTGACATCTGATATTAGAAAAACAGCTGCCTATACATCAACTTTTTAAATGCAATAAATTCACATTGAAGGAAGCAAGTTATGCTTAATAATACTTTCATGTTGATTCTTTTTAGATGGGTCCTCCAAAGAAATGTTGTCAATAGTTAAACAGTGTCTGTAATATTGGTGCTTTCATCACACACAAACATATCCGAAAACAAATATGATCCATCAGGTTTCTTCACCAGGCAACCATGTTTGTTGCAAGGGCAGATTCTAGCATCTCCTTTAGTGAGACATTACTTCATAAAGCCACCATTCTCAAACTGTTATTCACTCGGGGCTTTACAGTAACTTGAACCACCCTTGCATCATTTTCCTGAGAATGGTGGGCCGGGGAAAAAAAAAAATGGCTTTGATGAGAAGACAGGTCAGCTGCCAATTGTCTCACCTCTCCTCACTCTTTACCTTATTGGACTAGTTACGTTTCACAACGTCTTCTCACGCTATATTCATTACTCCAATAACTCTTGGCAAATTAAAAGGTAGATCAATATTAGATGTGATCATAATGTCAATAAGAGAGGTGATTATTTGTACAAATGGAGGTAAAGTGATCGAACATAAAAAGTAAAAAAGGAAGTTGGTGTCATTTCTTTGTTTTGGAGACTCAGAAATTTTATTTAACAAGACATTAATCATACTAAAAGATAGAACGTTCTTAGAACAGGCAGGGTAGCGTTTCTGTATTTTGCCTTCAATCTACAATATAATATTAAGAAACAATATAAAGCATTGCTTGGATTCATACACACCGTGGCTCCTTCCTCTTGTTCGTCTGACATGGTGCTAATGCACAGGCTGACCACAGTAACCACCACCATGATGACAGACATGAAGGCAAACACTTTCCCCGCTAAACCCGAATGAGGGTTCTCCACTGCTTCTCCCAGCATGTGGAACAGGCTGCCCTCTGCCACAGGAGCTCTCAGTGCCCTCCTTCTCTCCCGCCACTCGTTTTCCTTGCGCTGGTGCTCGGTCACTTGCTCCAGAGAGGACATCATGCGGTGGCGACAGCAGGGCTCCATCTGTCCTACATTAATGCCCCAGTAGAGCAGCTCATTGTGAAGGGCCACGTTGCAGACCTCCTGCTGCAGACGCAACTTCCCCTTCGCCAGGAGGTTGAGGATGGCCCGAAAGGCTAAAGGGTCACGGTCAAAGAAGAATTCATGTCGCATTTCGTCATAGTCATCACAAAACTCTGCTATCTCCCTCAGGGTGGTGCAGAAGCGCAGACGGCTCAGGCGGCTCTGGGGGACATCCTCAAGGGTGCTCCAGGGAAAGGCGTACCGGATGCCCCCGACGTTTACAAGGGCCTGCTCTGTGGGATCGCAGTACCAGCGCAATGCTTCTGACCCACGGAGCAGCTGTGCACGCTGAAAGTACAATCCTTTGACTGTGGTCTCTGAATCTGTGAAGACATGGCTGTAACTGTCTTCACTACTAAAGGACTGATCATCAAATCCAGCACTGATGATGGCCATGGTGGTAGACTGGTATTTGACAGAACTGTACTGTAGTTACAGTATTGTTTCCATTTGGAGATGTGAAGAAAAACCTGAAATTATGGATTATTATATGCACAATGTTCTAGAGGAGTATCTTATGATATATTTCTGCATTACACAATTGTGCATACTAATGCAAATGCACTTTTTAGGACCAATAACTACAGGTGCATCTAAAAAAAATGTGAATATCATAAGTTAATTTTCTTCCATTAAAAATTACCTGAAAATAGCTCTAATCAGCTAATAAACTTAAAAGACCTGTAAAGACATTTTGAGATGCACCTGTGTGACGTTTATCTATAAGAATAGTCACCCAGCTCTGCTGTTTCACCTCAGCTTTATGAAGTGTTTTATAATCTTTTAGCTTAGATTTTCTTGGCCAGCAGGCAATGCAATACAGACAGGCTATGATATACCCACTGTCCACTACTTGTAACACCAAACTGCAGACAGACAAAGTTAGTGACTAGCTAGTGTACATGGTGCAGTTTTTAGCAGCTGAAGAGCCAGATATTTCTCACAAATTGAATTGTGAACATTACATTCATCAGATGCCCATAAACACGACTCCAAATGAATGCTAATGTTGTTCTGTCACTGATAAAAAAAATGTCTAACACTAACCATAACAACTTTCAGATGATGTCAAATGCTATTTCAGATTGTTCCATTTACATTCATTCATTTAGCTGATGCTTTAATCCAAAGTGACTTACAATTGCTCAAAATGAGATATCTATACATCTCATTTTGTCTCAAGCCTTTATATAGCATCATTCATGACAAAATGTTTGCTATACTCGTAAAGGTTCTGTAACTCACCTTAAATTGGTGATTCCAAATCCTCCTGTTGTCTCTGAATTTATTTTTCAGAAATTGTGATGTGCAGTAACAGCAATCAGTTGTGTCATCATACCTACAACACTTGAAGTGAAGTGAAAGACAAACTCTCCTGGATGATTTGTCCATTTATCCTTTCCGCCCTTCCTCTCTTAACTCCAGTGTTTGGGTGACTAATGGATGACCCTGAGGTCATCCTGAACATAATCAGGACACTGTGTCTAGTTCGGTATTCCTGGTAAAACACCATCCATTAACGTTGTCACATTCTAAGCTTTTAGCTTTAATGCATCAAAAACCTGACAGACAATGTCAAAAGACTCCACAGGGGAAGGGATTAATGAGATTAATATCAAGAGGATAAAGAGCCAAAGACAAACACACACATTTAACAGAGTACGTAACAGTAGACAGATTGTGCATCTGGGCATTGCAAAGGAAAAAGTGAAAATGTACTGTATTTAAATTGGGTTGAACTTGTAAGGAAATGAAAATATTTATTCATTTGCTGATTCCTGTGTATTTTAATTGGGTATTATACTGTTGAGACAGTCTCTCTATTTAACCATTTTCACTCTAACTACAGTAGAAGATTGAATGTTGAAAGTATTTTTTTTTTTAAACCAACAGATGCCTGCTGCAGTTCTATGGACCAGGTTCCCAAAAAGCACCTGAGCTCAAAAAAATAAATAAATAAAAAAGAGGTGAAAAACACTGACTCACATCTGTTATGTAACATGTTAAAAACTACTTTTAATTATGTAATAAGTGGAGTAGTTGTCAGAGTGCAGAGCTGTCCTGGACATTTTGTTCTACTAAAACTTGTAAAAGTATATTGCTTTTTCAGGAATGAAAATTGAAAATCGTAAAAATTTAAATGCAATAGATTAACCGGTAGACTTACATGCTAAATATTTCAGTAATACCAAATACCTATAGCCAAAACAGTTATGAACACAGAGGATGTGTCCACATTTTTCAAGTATGTCTTCAGCACTACTCAAATATAAAATCCTAAAATACACCAATCAGCCTTAACATTATCACCACTGACAGGTGTGTGAGTGAATAACTGACTATCTTGTTACCATGGTAGCTGTCAGTGGGTGGCATATATTTGGCAGGTAGTGAACATTGTGTCCTCATAGTTGGTATGTAAGAAGCAGGGGGAAAAAATTGGCAAGCATAAGGATTTGAGCAACATTGTCAAGGGCCAAATTGATGGCTAGACAGACAGGAGCGTCTCCAAAATGGTCTAAAGTGGTTAGTATCTATCAAAGTGGTCCAAGGAAGGAAAAGCGTTGAACCGGCAACAAGGTCATGGCCGGCCAAGGCTAACTGATGTACATGGGGAACAAAGGCTGAACCATGTCTGATCCAACAGATGAGCTACTGGTCACATTGTTCTGTGAAGAGATGTGAAAAAAGGGCCCAATTACATATCTGGGCCAGCCCAACTCTCCCCCTTCTATCCTTAAATCCAATGCCTGTGGCTCTGCCTCAGAGCAGCACCCGGTGGAAGGAGGAGAGGTGGCTGGCCGTGTGAAGAGCAGGCGTGTTACAGGAAGAGAGGAACAGAGTGAGCAGGAGGAGAGTGTAGTGGTAGCAGAGGAACAGAGGTGTGGACCAAAGTTGCAGACACTGACGAGGAGGTTGCAGTTCAAATAAAACAGGATTACTACTTCTCTCAAGGCAAGAGTCTAAACAAAAGGGTAATTCCAACAAGGGCTGAGTACAAGGTCCAGACACGAGTTAAATCCTACAAAAGGCAAGGGAATCCAACGCAAGGGAATAATCCAAAAATCCATGGAAGTACACAGCAGAACACTTCACATACGACACCACGAGGACTAAACAGAACTGAGGGCAATATATACACACAAGCAGGCAGGCCAATTAACACAGGTGAGACACATAAGCAATCAAGCAGACAGGAAACAAATCTAGACAAAAACACATGAAACGGATCATTACAAAATAAAACTGGACGTTAAGCTAGTGATTATACACGAGGACATGTGAAACCAAATACAACAGAGAATAAGTAGGCAATGATCAACTAACCAAACATAAACAAGAACACAGAGGCAAAGAGTAAAACAGGAACGGACATTATCAAAATAACAGAAAATACCACACAAAAACCCAAGAGCATGACAGCGTGCAAGCAAACAGGGACACTCAGGCGAAGGGATCATCATCCCCAAGATGACAATGATAAATGATAATTAATTTAAATTAATGTCAATGATAATAACATAATCATAACCCTATCAAAAACTGAGACCAGTCGGCTACAGCTTGTGCTCACTCAATGTCAAATAGAGTAGCAACATTAGCTTCACCTAGGTCCATATCAGATCATAACATAAAATGATTAGGCTAATGGTTTCTTTGATAAAGGCTGTCTGATAATGGGTTACATCTGTTGCTCTACTGTGCTAAATGTATGACTCCAGCCTAGTGGGCGGGAACTTGTTTTCATTTTCAACAACAGGCAACACAGTTGTCCTATGTTTGGGATAACATAGGGATTACATGTAGCCTACTCCATACTTTTCTCCACTAGCATGCAGGCACGTTCACGTGGTAGGCACATGAGCAGCATGCACACATGCAGAGGTCACCTGTAGTTGAAACTCCCCAAACAAACAAGCACACCCTTGATTTCATTGCCCTATCACGTGTACAGGTCTATTACTCCTCTCAAAACACGAATATAAAACCAAAAGGTGATCTGTTACCATTATCACATTATGCAATTCATAGTTTTCAGTCACGTGACATGCGCGGTGACCTGGAGGGCAAAACAACAAACCAACATAGCGGCTCACACCGCGACTCTCCTAGAGACGCCGCAAAAGCAGTCAAATTTTTGAGCTAGATGTTATTCCCCTCCCTGCGTTACCTATGACCTGCTTACGTAGACTCAAAAGAAGCACCAAATGCAAAATAGGTTAAACAAACATCTTTAGCTCAGCATTGGCCATCTAACATTAGCTTCCTTCTTGCTTTAGCTACAACCTACAAGAGGTTAACTCTGACTGTCGCTCGTTTTTATTGAAAAGATGAATGAGCATTTGTTTACTTGCTATTTTACGTCCCGCAGGCTGTTTATCATGTTAATTGTTAACGTTGGCTTCAAACAGGTTACAGGTTTATTGTTGATCATGTAACACTACAGTTTTATTTAGTTAACGTTACACTGGGTTTGAGAGTCTGGGGTGGGTGTTGACTTATAGTAGTTAATTAATTGCATTGCACATGGTTGTGCTCTGGAAGTGAAAATCAGGTTACAGTTACAGAATTCCTTATAGCTATGCAGTGTTAAGCAGCCTGGATTGAACGCAGCAGGTTATACAACATTCATTATAATCATCAGAGACTTGAGACTTGACTTGGACTCTAGTTCTAATTCAAAGACTTGTGAGCATCAACAAAGAGACACAAAATGTCCACAAACAAACTCAAAAAGATGCAAAACCAACTAAAATAGCCTTTAAATCATGGCCAGGTCCTCTGGGCATACATTTTGCTTATTTATCTTGACTAACAACCAAAGAATTTTTCAAAACAAAATATATTTTAGTAAAAGAACATTAATGCAGTGTCATAGAGTCAGAAACATAAACAAAACAAAGGTTAAATTCTATCTCACATCTTTGCTTGAGTGAATCAACCTGCATGGTCTTATCTCTTATCTTATCTCTAAAGAAAGAGAGTTAATCCTCATAGCTGTGCTTTATGGTATCGGTGTTCCACGTTGCATAGGCCCTGGGTCAGGGTTAAATACTGTATATGGACTTTACCATTCTTTAATTATCTTCCTAGTTCGGCTGTCTGATAAGGTGAGAGATTAAGAAAAACACACTGGTAGAGCAAAACCTGCCGTTGTCACAGTTTGCTCATCAGTCCCTCTCTTCAGCCACATTCTGTCCTGGTCTCTAATCTAGCCTTGCTCACTTTTCCCAGGCCTTGGACTTTTCCCATCACCTGACTGCCCCACCCATCAACACACCTGTTCCTACTTCTCTCATTAGTCTCAACAGTCCTGCAGGCTGCGGTCGAACAGTCTTTTTTAATTATGAAGGTTCCTAATTGAGTGAAATGACCTGGGCCCCATCCCAATATCCACACCCTCATGGATTTTGAGGTGCGTTCCTCGTACGTCTGCCAGGTCTTAGGACTGTCCCACTGTCAAATCATTAAGTGCAAGAGGGCTCTCACGCAGACTTTTGGAGCCATTTATATACACTTTCCATAAGTTTGCACCTCTGCAGACTTTGCCTCAGGGAATAACTTACAGTTCAAAGTGTGGTGAAGCAAGAGCGTGGAATAGGTAAGTTTCTTAGTAGTAAGTTTCTTGGCTGTGAAGTCCCAAATCCATAATGGTACATAACGTGTTTTGGCGTTGTAAAGGTAACGTGATATCGCAAAGTGCTGTTTCAAATTTGACCATTTCAGGCACTTGCAGTCATTTAAGTCTGTGAGGGTTTAAGCTTTAGGGTGGCGTTTGGGATTGGGCCCTGGAAGTATCTAAGTGGCAGCCACGATAAGAGCTGGTCAAATTCTCTAAATTCTATAGAAAGTGGCTTCAGGGCTTTCTTTCTTATGTCCTCTAACACCGGACCTTATGAAAGGAAAGAAGATAATGCTGTCCCACAATTCCTTGTGTCAGCTATGCACCGCTGTAGTTTCAGCATGGCAGACACACGTAAATGTATATTCAAATATATCCAAACAGGAGAATTTTTTGAAGATCCAGCATATTGCATTTCCGGTTAAAAATATCATCATCATAACAAAATATATCAATGAATGTCATTTTGCTAAGTCCCCCCCCAGTGTGGAACACACTGAAAAAAAAATTCTCGTATCCATTCTCCTTCACATCTTACCTTAACCACATGACGTTTTCCATCAAGATTTATTGACTATTCAACCGAAGTCTGGCCAACTCCATCCACTACTCACTGCAACTTATTCTCAGCCACTCACCATACATAGGTCAACTTCTATTGATCTCTGCCAGATGTTTTGTTGCTCTGTGCTCCATGTCTTGGTTCCCTGTTTCTGCCTACCTGCATGTTTGACCTTTTGCCTGTATAGTGGACTTTGGATTTGTGGAAATGTCTGTTATGGAGTGCTGTCTCTGGTTTTGACCCTTGCCTGCCTCACTATCCTGTAGGACTGTGTTCCTCATTGTGTGTTAATAAATTACAGAACTGCATCAGCTCTTCCTAAGGCATCTGCATTTGAGACCTAAAGGAGGTATTCCTGTTTTAATGATAGAGCTGGAAATAATATATATACTATAACTGATTGAAGCCATGCGAGTTAGTTCAGGCAGACAACTTCTTCTACGCTGTGCCTCAACCCTCACAGGTAACATCCTGCGCTCTGGATGGCAATATCAGTCCTGAAATTCCCTGCCCCCCCTGCTGTGACACCTGCACAGTGAAAGTGGGTTTGTAATTGAGTGTGTTTTTGTTTTATTTGGTCTTTGGGTGAATGTGGTGTGCTCAGTGGATTTAAGTTCTTCGTCTGTCTGTGTTCTCTCTCTTCTCTAGTGGAGCCAGTGGGTGTTAACCAGCACTCCAGTTTTGGTGCCAGTCCTCACCTGCTGGTAGTTACCAATCACACACCTGACCTGAATACTCCATGCTGACTATCAGAGGAGAGACCAGATTTCTAATCGCGTTGGATTGTTAAGTACCTGTTGTAATCAACTGGTCTGTTTGAGACCTACTTTGGCTCCTTGTAGAAACCTCAATAAAGTAATGTAATAATGTCACATATACTGTATATCAAGGTAGACCATAGCACAATAACTCCTGACCCCGTATTAAGCTTAGCTGTAAACACATCGCAGGACTAGCTGCTATTTCCGAGCTATAAATATAATTCTGACGTACGATCTAAATTTGACTATTTATTAATTCATTCAAGAATATTCATTTGGATCCTGGTCCCTAGAGTGGAAATGCAGTGAGTTTCCACACTCAAATTATCTAAAGAAATGTCCATAATGCAATGAATTACAAATTTCACAAATATATGAACCTGGGGTTAGTTTACCCACACTATTTAAAGAAGAAAATCACGTAGCTGTGGTTACAGCCTTAACCTGCAGGGGGGAATCAGCTGACAACCTGTGTCAGGCTTTAATCATATTCAAACAGCAAAACAGAACAGTTATGGTTATGTTATATTGGCTGCATTCAGTCCAATACTTAGTGGAGTGCCATGCATATAAATAAATAGACCTAATAGACAGACATGGCTGGCAGATCCACTTGGAAGGCCTAGACCTACTTTCTCTTTTATAGTATAGAGGTTCATGCAAATATTTATATATATATATGTATGTATGTATGTATGTGTGTGTGTGTGTGTGTGTATATATGTATATATGTATATATGTATATATGTGTATAATTTGAAGCATATAAGCCTATACTGATGAAAGAATTGTTGTGTTTACTGTGCGATGGGACAGTGGATAATACACTTTGGTGTGGGAGACCTGGGTTCAAATCTGTGACTTCCACCAATCTGTCCCTGAGCAAGACACTCAAACCCCTAGTTGCTCCAGAGGTGTGCGACATCTGACTTATACGGCCATTGTAAGTAGCTTTAGATAAAAGTGTCAGCTAAATGAATAATCATTAAATTATGAATTACTGTATATCTCTGCTATACCCCTCCCTTCTGAAGGATTGTTCCAAAAATGGATTTGTGGAGATCGTTGTCCCTCCCTAGTCTATCAGAGGAAAAATGGAGGTGTAGGCCATGTGGAGGCTACATAACTATAAAAATGATTCCATATTACATTTATCTGACGCTTTTATCCAAAGCGACTTACAATTGCTATACATGTCAGAGGTTGCACACCTCTGGAGCAACTATGGGTTAAGTGTTTTGCTCAGGGACACAATGGTGGATGTGTCACAGTGGGAATTGAACCCAGGTCCCCCACACCAAAGGCAATCATCTTATCTATGCGCAACCACCACCCCGTGTTGTTAATAACCTTTTCTCATATATAATATACCATCAGGGACTCTGCCTACCTGCTGCTGCCTCAGCTGTTAAAGCCTCATTGTGATGATGGGCACCTGACAGCCAGGCAACCAGACTTCAATAGGAAGTTGAATGCTGAGGTTATCCAAACTAGCCTAGCTAAATCTAGGTAGTTGATGAGCCGGATTCTGGGCTGTGTTAAAGATATGGCGCCAATGAGATATGGCTATTTGATGTCAGTCTAGTAATCACTTACCTGACAACCCTACTTGGCACACGTGAGCATCTCTCCTTCTCCTGCACTGCCAGGAAGTCTGCAAGCAGTGGACCGACATCTGAGAAGTTTGAAATTAACTTCAGAAGAAATCTGACTATGCGTCGCTTGTCAGACACTGTAAATATAACATTGACATAATCCAGGCCGACATCAGCAAGATGTGTGTGTGTGCTATCTGGGTCTGGCTCTTCAGTCACTCATTGAGAGACTGTTGTTCAACCCTTGTGGTTGCTACACTTTAGACCAAAAAAACTCTAGAAATACAGCGAATTTCTGTTTCCTCGTGTATCTAGCTTTGTTTAGTCTTTGTTTTCCCTAATGTGTTTCACTTGTTGATTCACCCTCCTTGCTTGTGTGTGTCTGTATTAATTGTCCTGATTTCCGGTCAGCCTCTGTCGGGTCCTTCATCCATCGTGTCGTGTGGTTTCCTGTCCCATTCATCTGTCTGCAACTCTGTCAGTTTGTTCCCAGTCTTTATATTCATGGATTCTTCCCTGCCTGGATTATTTTTGTTTCGTGTTTTAGATTGGGACTTTATGATTGCCTTTTGGATTTTACATTCGTGTTTGCATAACCTGTTTTTAGTTGGATTATAACGTTAGAATTTCTGGCAAAGCCCTTCACTGCCTGAGCAAACAACACCAAGCCTGACAGCACGATCCAACCATTATGGACCCAGCAGACATGATGTCTGATGAACTTTAAGAACTATGGATGGACTTGTTGGAGCTAAAGAATAAGTGGCATAAGGCTAGTCATGACAGCCATAGGGAGACTAGTTTCTTCGAAGCCTCGGTTGAGAGAATCTATCCCGGAATGGTCAGCTTTCTTCACACCTCAGCTCCTCTATCTACTTCTTGTTCATCAGCATCCAAGCCTGTTAGCCACTTGCCCGCTAATGGTCAGCCAGCTAGCATCTGCTAGCCTGATCCCTGGCCCACTAGCCATGTAGCATCAACCCGCCTGGTCCCCTGTCTGCTATCTGCCAGCCTGATTGTTGGTCAGCCACCCCAGCATCCAGCATTCCAGCGAGGGCACTCGCCTGGTCATTTTCAGTGAGTTGCGTGGAAGCCATAAGAGCAGACGTAGTCATCCTGGCTCCCGACGCCAGTGGCAGCCTCAACCTCTACTCACACCAGAGCCTCCACTGCCATGCTCCTCGTACTCGCTGCTGCCAAACTTTTCCGAGTCTTCACTGCTCAGCTCTTCATCTTTGCTGCTGCCCAACTTCACTGAGACTTCGCTGGCCTTCTCTATGTCCTCATCGCTGCCAAGTTCCTCGTCCTCATCGTTGCCCAGCTTCTCTCCCTCACCTCCTTCCAGTGCTGAGGTCTTGCTGCCTGGCATCACAGAGACGGAGCGATGCAGCGTCACAGAGACAGAGCTGTCCGGCGTCGCGGAGACAGAGTAACCCAGCAATGAGAAGCCCCAGAGATTAAGCAGGTCAGTGCTTCTGAAACACTGCTGGCCAGCTATGCTGCAATTCAGCTGCCCAGTATCACAGAGACCCTTTTACCCAATCTTACTAAGATTCAGATATCTAGCTCCTCAGAGAATTTGTTGCCTGATTCTTCAGAGACTAAGCTAGCCAGCTTTCCAAAGACTATGTTCACTATGTAGACTAAAAATCCACTGTCTAGCTCTTCAGAGATTTGTTGCCTTGTTTTTCAGATTGACCTAGCCACCCTCCCCAAGACTTTGTTCCCTATCTTCACTGAGTTTCAGCTGTATAGTCCCTCTGAGATTTTGTTGCCCATTTTGCCTGTGATGGGGGATAAATCAGCAGTCAATTGGCGGTCGCCAGTCGTTATGTGTGAACTGCACAACGTCGCATTAAAACGGCTCCCCAACACATGTCTGACACATCGCCAACGTCTGCCAGATATCTAGCATGCCAAATATCTGAAAGAGCCTCCAGCTCTCTCTGTAGCTCAGACACCCCCTGCTACCTGCATGTGCTACTCCATTCTTTCACCCATATTTTTTGTCTTTATAATTGCTATCTTTATAATAACAAACAACAGCTGTTTCATGTGTAGGTTCGCGTCATTTCCCGTTTCGCATTTCACATGTGTTTTCTTGACAAAACGTGGTTTGGAGACCTGCGTCGGTTGACAGTCCTTGTCAACTTGTGTAGTGTGTGACCCCCTGTCACAGATCAGTCACGTAGTGTGAATGCTACAATGACTTCGACTCCCGTCACAAGACGGCAAGTTGTGCGGTGTGAACTGCACGGCTATCGGCTGACGCTGAAAGTTGTGTAGCCTGCACGAGGCATAAGCTAACCTGTGTTCCAGAGACATTGCTATCCAGCTCACCAAAGATTCAGCTGGTTTGCATCCCACAGACTCTCAGGGAATCAGCTGTTAAGTGTTTTAGAGACTCAGCTGATCAGAACCTCTGTGACCTAGCTATCTAGCTTATCAGAGATTCAGCTGATTAGCACCCCTAACCACAAATGGCGTGTGCGCCGCATTACAACTGCACCACGGCTGCCGGAGCAAATTGACCATTGTAGTCAATGCTTGTGCTTACACTTGAAACGTCGCAGCACATCCCAGACGCGGCTCTCCGCTTCGCTGCACAGAGAATAGGCAGCCAGTCTATTTTTGACGAAAGACGCATCAAGCAGCACAGGGCAGATCGTGCCTGGCAGGAAGTCAGACACAGAACAGCATAGAGAATCCGGTCGATTTTCAAAATAAAACACCCTGTCTCTACCTCAATATTACATCATAGCCGGTAGCACCAGGCCAGTAGATTTCCAGGTCAGAGGACATTTGACACCATGGACAACGAGAGATTCATCTTAAGATTTTGTATGACACCACAGATCCTTTACATAAGGACAACACCAAAAAGGACAAGGCCTGGAGTTTAATATTATAACTTTCTAATTAGCAAAGCTATAAGGTGATAAGCTATAAGCTATAAGAAAAATAAGACTAATAAGAATAATAACTTGCTTTGTTATTATATGGTTACACCAAGTTATTTGGGTCCAAATTTGCTTTTTTCATGGTATCACACCATCCTGTCCTGGCACGACACACTACCTTCAGGGGAGTTGAAGAATGTGCAGAAAATCTCCCTGATATTACAAGCCTCTCTTGATGCCCGGTTTCCACCCATGTTTCCTCACTGTTGCCATGTGTCTCCCTAGCTGCTCTTCCTCATCCTGCAACCTGTGGTTTTTGCTAGGAGCAAGCAGGAAGTTGTGAAGGATTCATGCAGCCACCACAAGTGTGTAGACATTTTGAGGGAGCAGGTTGATTCTACGATGCAATAATACACTCCACCTGGAAGCCAGAATACAAAAGGCAATTTCCACCACCACTATAACTCTTGATAGTCTGTAGTTGAAAATAGTCAGTGAGGTTCTATCTCTGTTAAAAAGTTTATTAAGCCTGTGGTCAGTGATTTAATGTTAAACTTACCTCAGTCCAACAGCTCGTCTCTTCTTGGGTTCTATGGCAGCTCTGTTTCTGGCTGCTCAATTTGTTGATTGTCTGGTCAGTTCAGGGCCAATGACTGATAGAAGTTCATCCATCTGTGGTGCCGGGGCGTCCAACCTCAGCTCAGCCACACGATGATAAAAATCCCCTTGTTGTTGGGGCTGTCAACACCTTTAAAACAAACGCTGGAAGCTAGCTACGTTCTTCCGGTCTGTACGAGATTCATCTGGAAGTGTCTCATAGAGACTCACCCGTTGTGTCTCTGAGTGGAGAACTGTCTGCATAGCTTATTAGTCTTGTGTAATGTGTGTAAAGAATGAAAATAAATACATCTGTGCATTCATCTGTACCCCATTAAATATTCAAGCCATTTAGCCATGTTTGATCGACCTCCATATACAGTATATGTGACATTATTACATTACTTTATTATTTAAGATAGGTAATCATGTTTTATACTCCAGCCTGTTCCTTTGTTGCAGTGCAAGATTAACTGTAAGTAGTTTTATTCATTTCACTTTATCAGCCCCAGAGCCACTGCGCTTTATTCTGGATTTGTTGTACCTAAATAAAAGGTTTGTCACAGGTGATCAGATGATTGTGAGAGTCATTCTTTTTTGTCATTATTGCTAAAGTAGTTGCCCTTACACCCAAAGGTGTTTGAGGGTGAACTGAAAAATGGTAACCCATCTGTTGATGATCACTGTGGACTGTTCATTCATTGTAGACATTAACAATGAACTTCAGGATGTAAACTGCTAGCTCTGGCCCTGTCTTGTAGACGGGCCATGTTTCCTAATATCTTTATTATTTCAGCTGATATTACTTACATGGTGCATATTCCTAAATAGATTTGTATTTAATCAAATTACCAAAAATTACCGTACATGTCCACGGTTAGAGCAGCCATACAGTCATACAGCCCACATGAGCAGCACTTCATGTAGCGAATCGCCATCTCGCCTGTTTTACAAGGAAGGCAGCGTGGCCCTAGCATAACATGTTGCGGCTGCTACACAATCTACTCTAAAAACATCTCTGCATAATCATCATCATCATCCTCTTCTTCATTGCTGCTGCTCACACATCCCAGCATCCATCTGACTCCAGTTTCTTCTGCACGGTTGAAACTCACTTTCTGTGACTCTTTCTGTACAGACTTACATTACCTGGACATACTCTGTCTTATATCAATAAACTGCCCCACATGACTGAAATTGAGAGATTCTGTAACTTTCCACAGTAAGGACAGATTCAGTTATTTTCCACAGCGGGGGGAAAGGACAATGTTCACTCTAGTGGTCCGATGACACAGCCACTTACAGCTAACTAAATGTGAGTTGCACAAGCTTGGGTTCAACTCCTCTTTGTACATGGATTTCATCTGTGTATTTAATCTCTCCCCTGCAGCGGTTTCTTATCGCAGTCTTGCAAAAAGAAAAACTACAGCCCAGAGGTTATATTTCAATAAAAACAATATATGCAAAGAATAGCAAAACACTTAAATAGATAAATATATGAGAAATGCTTGAGTTAATTTGACCAAGTAGTAGGCTGCATGATTAGTGACTATGTCATCACTCTGCAATTGAATTTTGATATTTATTGCTACTGCAAGGCCAGAATGTAGTGTTAATGTTGAATGTTTGGTGCACCGTAACCTCAGTTGTAAAGTAGAAGTGTTTATTTTGGGGTTTAGTGAATAATATGTAAGAAATTACAACTAGCAAATGACTTTAATATAACAAATGAAACTGTTATTTGTACAAATCTTAAGTATGTGTTTTAGTTTCTGACTTGTTTACTTTATTTTGTTCTAGTTATTTCCTGATTAAGATCACATTTTTGCAGACTGTGCGGGACTTTCTTCCCAGGTCACTTACAGTAGGCAGAACCTTTTTGAAATCCTATTTCTGACAATGTAATTGATAGCTATTGTTGAATAACCACTGTATTGTTGCACCGGAAATGTTTTTAAAGACAGATATGGTGTCAGTGTGATCACATATTAGGGCAATTGTAGATAAATACATAAATTACAGAGCTGGGGGAGGGAGGTAATATTATTAAAAAAAATAATAACTCTGACAATCCAGTAGTCCAGAATGGACAAACCAAACACTGGCTCTAGATGGGGCTTTTCTGTTTTTCGTGAGTTTTGCGGCCACTGTAGCTTGTCCTACATGCTTGGGAAGGTGACTTATAAGGTGACAGTATTCAGTTGTTTGCAATCTTCAGCCTCTCCACTAGAGACCGTTGAATCCTACATACTGGTCATAGGTCATAAACACAGAAGACAAAACAGTTTAGATCAGACTTTTTCACACTTGCCTCTCAGGGCTTCCATACAGTTGGCGTATTAAGGCCATTGTAGGATTTTTTTTTAAATGCATTACAGAGCCTGGGAGGAATGTAATATAATATTCTAAGAAAAAAATTTATATTCTCTCAGACAGTTGCTCGCTTAGACACACACACACACACACACACACACACACACACACACACTGGAAACCCTCTCAGTCTCTCTGAGCAGCTAGCTCAGCTACAACACAGGCACCAGGAAGAAAGTTTTACTAAGGGCCATGAATGTGCTTCTAGTGAGTAGCAAAGCTTTCTGTGTCTGGCAGCAGCTGCTCATGGCTGGTTCGCTCTGACTTCCAGTTTTCTACCATTTGCCTGGCCCTGCAGGGTCTCCCTGCAACTCTGAGAGGTCTATCGGGGGTCGGTGTCTCCTTACCTCCCCGCTTCAGGCACTACGTTGCCATGAGGCTACTTGGACACTGAAGTCCTCCACTGCAAATATCTTGGGGGGCTAGCAGAATGGAGAGTCCTAGTTTCACTTATAGACTGTAGGAAGGTTACACTTTAATAATGCAAGACAATAGTCAGACTTAAGAGAAGAGGTGGGGCTTGCAGACAGGCAGCATCAAAGCCACTTGAAAGCATGTACATCTTTATTTATAAATGTCTGCAGTTCTTCCCCAGTTTATGCTTTTGGTCATTGAACAGGATGTGTCTCATAATAATGGTGCATGAAAGTAGCTTAATTTGCATCTGCATACCCTGCTTTTAATATAGTCCTACACATAGGGTCCTACAGAGCCTTTAATGACACAAGCACATCTAAAAATGAGTATTTCAGAGGGGTCTTCCTCTAAATTTGTACCTTTATAAAAAAGTTTTTTTCTTGTATATTTCTTATTTTTTCTTAATGTTGGGTACCACTGGAATCTCAGGATTTCCACGTAAGCTGTTCTTCTAGTCGCCGCCCCCGTCCCCCGCCCTGCTCCATATGTTTTTAACCTATAGGCTACAATGGTCTATGCGCCTCGTGCTTCCATACTAATCAGACCAGGAAATAAGCTTAAGTTATACAAGATATTAGCAGTGATATTTATTTTGTGGTGCAGATTCCCCTGGCTGCTGGACATCCAAAGCCATCCATGGAAATTTCCATGACATCAGAAGAGTCCGTGCTTCTGTGTATAAATACAGACGTCTTACTGTAAGTGTTCAATAAACGGGAGGGACAATTTACAGCAGACTCACAGCTGAGAAATGGCCTCAAACATGGAGAAAACTTTGAATGGTAAGTATTATAGAAGACTTGAAATAATTTTCACTTGAAATAGTTGTTTTACCTCACAGAAGAAGGTACTAATGAATATGTCAAAGTAAGCTTTATAGGCCCTGGTGTGTTGCTTAATGTGCATTGCAGTTGTAACACACATTAACAAATATTGCATTTGCATTTATGTATTGCAACTTTTTTTTGCAGGTAAAACTCAACAAAAAGGTCGCATTGGTGCTAACAAAGTGTTACGTGAGAACAGAGTTTAATTATTCCTACACAGCCCAGCTGCGATACTGCTCTGCATGCCTTAGGCTATGTGCCACGAGGCAGGGAGGAGACAGATGAAGTCTAACGTTACTTTAGTAGCTTTGTGGCGGTACAGATTAATTTATGCATTTTTGAGATTTACAGTGTGTAATATCTTGATAGGTGCACCATAGAAATACAATCACAGTTTTAATGAAAAGGGTCAAAATATTGTAAAAGGTTAAATTAACTATACAGTAACATACACAAGGCAAGTATATGGAGGAATATTATAGATATGATATATTTTCCCCTAGATTGTCCACACCTTGGATATAAAACAAACGTCTTATCTGTTTTAAGACCAATTGCACATCATATCAAGGCAGGCCAGACTGAATGAACTGCAGTAAGTCCCAAAGTAGGAGAGGATGAAACTTTGAAAGACAGGCCTGGCTTTGAAATAATGAGGACTACTGTATCTATTACAACAAAACTAGATAAGCCCATCAAATTTGGTTGGGTAAAAGTGCAGGACCTGCCTTAGGGCCCTTAATTAATTGAATATTGTGGCACAGTAAACCTGGGGCATTCAGGACCCCTGAGGGGCTGGAGGGCAGGACGTTACCTGTGAGGGTAGAAACGCAACTGAAATTTAGAGTGATACCCACCTCTGTGACAAGTTGGATAAATGTCAAGAGATAAGCAGTAGCTTGCTTTGAGGGGTTAAAGAGTTTAGATGTGCCTACAGTTTGGACTTCTGCCATGACTAATATGGCCCTTGACAGTATATATAAAAAGAACACTTATCAAAGGTGAAAATCAAGTCAGTTCATAGGTTAATAAGCAGCCTGGACTCAAAAGCAGTATGATAAAGGCAGTTTAAATGCACGTGTTCTGTCACTATATAAAGACAGATAATGTATGTGTAAATTATATTATTATGTAAATTAATTATTTTCATACACAATTCACTTAAAAAAGTTGATTTTGGTTTGACTGGTCAATATAAAAATTACCAAATTACAACTGGTTGTGATGTATGTAAAGCCAAAGTGTCTGTAGACTCATAACAGTAAAGCCGCTGTTGGATACACAGTGTCTTTATAGCACTTGTAAATTTAATGGCAAAAGGTAAGTTCATAATTGATTTATGAATTGTTTCAATCAGTGACAATGGAAAATACCTAGAGGACTAGTTAATGAGATAACAAATTGCACAGTCAGCAGTAAACACTAAACTGACATTTGATGTTTACTTTGCACAGAAAACTATAGGAAACCAACAGAAACCATTCAGGCAGCCAGTGTACTAACGATCTTATTGTAGCCCAAACCATGAACTTTTCTAAACCTCAGCGAGTAGTTTTGGTGCCACAATCTAACCAAAGTATGATTCAGCACAGAGCCCTGCACGTGCCGAACCGACGCTAGACTAGTACGTATAGCATCATGGTTTGACGCGTGAGGCCACTTACCAAACTGCCGTGTTGGGAGCGAGATAATTATTATGTATGTTTCATGCATGAGGGAGATCCATCACATTAACAAAAATACAGACATGAATGCTATTCTGTCATGACCATGGAAGCGTGGTGGTAAAGTATCATATGCTTCACTCACTTTAACCTCAGGAAAAAAATAACTTTCTTAGTCTCGCTCAGTCTAATCACCATGCTTCTCTTAAGATAAAGCACCAGGCATAACGCTGGAAAAGCTTTGCACAGCAAGCAGGATGCACCTTCCCACCTCATCTGAGTGTGAGAGGGCTTTTCTGCATTTAATGATACTGACAGCAAGACCCACAAGAGGTTCTGTGAAAACAGCCTCTCATCGCTACTTTTTGTGGATCTTTTATTTTTTTCATTTGCAGGAGTGAATTCCTGTGATAACCAGTGCCATATGGGTGATCCCAGGCTTCCAGTGAAATGTCCTTCAGTTTTCATAGACAATTTTGTCCTTAATGGCCCCACCGTGGACGTACACGCAGCAGAGAGCTTCATCCACCAAGCCATGGAAATTATTCTGGATGAGGCAGTGACAAAGGCCACTAATGTCAGAGAAAAGGTAAAGGCGTAGCTTATTTATTTACTGACCTGCAGTCTGTGGCAATGTACTGTAGAGTTCTGCAACAGCACTGATAAGATTCTCGTGTATTTAATAGGACTACTGCCAATACAGATGACCTTGACAGTGAAATGTGTGTCCATACTGTCCAGGTCTGTGAGTGGCGTTCCCCCGAGCAGCTGAAAGACTTGTTGGACCTGGAGCTGAGAGACGGAGGAGAGTCTGAGTCCAAGGTTCTGCAGCGCTGCAGAGATGCCATCAGATACAGCGTCAAGACCAGTAAGTCTTCTTATAACCTTTATTTAATCAGGTAGTCGCATTGAGATCAAGATCTCTTTTGCAAGACTGCCCTGAGTACAGCATAGGAAACTAGCAACAGAGATAAAACAGTCGCATACGGGCAAATACATACAAACAGTGTCAGAAAGAAACACAGAAGTCACTAAAAATGTTCTAAGTTAAATAGGATGAGACTTTCAAGTTTCAATGTTATTTGACATTCATTCCATTTATATGGTACAATAAAAGTAGTGGAAGGCACTCTTGCCAAGTTCAGTATTTGTTGATGCGGTATCAAGAGTCAGTCAGTCCGGGGATCTGCGGTGGTGAACAGTACTTTTAAATTTGAGATGAGATGTAATATGCTGAGGCAGTTTGATGATAGTGTGCAGTTCTCTTGTTGTTGCAGATGAGGGCACGCTTACCTTTTAGTACACAGCGATGAATATGATATTCATCTCCTGTAATTCATCCCCTGTAACTGTGATGCAGGGCACAGTGATAAAATGCATCAAGTGGTTTTAAGGTGGAATTTGCCAAATGAAAGTACAGGATGTCTCCACAGCCAGTCATGGTGACTGATGTTTTTCCTGTACTCAAGGCAAAAACAGCTTTATTTTTCGATAAAAAAACACCATTTTTATCTTAGGATTCTGTGCCATTTGTTCCACATATCTAACCAAAACAATGATCCAGCGCTTTAGCTATTATTTCAAATTTTAGGAAGCAAGAAAGGAAAGCATTCAAAGGTGATAACGGATTTTGTCTGTCATCTCTGTAGCCCATCCTCGTTTTTTCAACCAGCTGTTTGCAGGCTTGGAGCCATATTCCACAGCGGCCAGCTTCATAGTGGAGACTCTCAAAACCAGTCTGTGAGTTACGTGTTTCATAGTAATTCTCTAAGTCACACGTGCAATAATTTGAGTCCAGTGGCTTTCTTTTACCTATGTGGCGTTACACCAAACTTTGAAATCATGTAATGACATTGCACATGTGTTTTCCATCAGGTACACTTATGAGGTGGCTCCAGTCTTTACCCTGATGGAGGATACTGTGATGAGGAAGATGATAGAAATGATCGGCTGGGAGGAAGGAGGCGATGGTCTCTTTAACCCCGGTACGGTCACCAGCGGCACCCAGTGTTATCACTACTGCTCCCTCATGATTCCTAATGAATGGGTCTTAACAAATAAAAATCATCCTCTGTTTGCTGTTTTCCTTCCAGGTGGCTCAATGTCCAACATGTACGCTGTGAACTTAGCCAGGTACAGTCACTGTCCTGACATTAAAGAGGTCGGACTCTCCGGCTCTGCGCGACTGGTCGTCTTCACATCACAGGAGGTAAAATTTACCAACCAACAGAGTCAACAATCTGTGGCTCTCAGCACGAAGCCCTTTGGTTCCTACTGAAATCTTTTAAAACAGCTCACAAATCAATTTCAATTTAAAAATAGGCTCAGTGGTTTCCTTCCGCAGCTGGTCACTGTAGTTTTTAACAAATGTTACTGAAACAGGAGGCTTACTGATGTGTTCAATGGTTTTTAGACAACAATGGCACTTGATGGCACAGAGGAAGAACATATACAGTATCAGGCTTTGGATACACACTACTGAAATGTTGTTAGAAGGATCAGTTCATGTGTTTGGGTTAGTTTGTTCTAGGATTTGAAGATAATCACAAATATATAGATCTCTTCTTTAAGAGTGCATTTACTTTCTGATTATTGTGTAACTGCAGTCATACAGTCCTTTTGAATTATTCTGCCACAAGAGTTCAGAAAGATGCTGAAGTCGCTTTGCATTTTTCTTGATTAAGGAAACTCTTGTTTAATCTCTTCCAGGCTCATTACTCCATCTCCAAAGCAGCAGCTTTACTGGGCATCGGCACTAAGAACGTTTACGTGGTTCCATCTGATAAGAGGTAAACTGCTTCTCACACAAACTTTATAATCCTGCCTGATATCCAGGCTCCTCTCTGTGGACAGAGGCCTTTGTCTGTTGGCATTGATTTCATTAAATCAATCGAAGTGTTTCTGTTTGAACAGTCATTATTAAAATCTCCTACTCACTTACTGAGCCAGTGTGCTGGAGAAGAATATAACTCAGGCCGTAGATACAGTTTCATTTTCCCATGAACTGGTCCATTTATTTGATGTCAAACAGAATTGTTTTGTGTGTTTGTCAGAGGAAAAATGATTCCCTCGGTTCTGGAGGAGCAAATAAAAGCCGCTAAAAGTGAGGTGAGGGAGTCATCTTACCTGTTGAGGCCTGAACAGAGACATTGTTACATATAATTTAGTGCACAACACTGAAACATCATTAACCCTGCGTGTGTGTGTTCAGGGTGCCGTGCCCATCATGGTAAACGCCACAGCAGGGACCACAGTGCTCGGAGCTTTTGATCCCATTGATGAAATCGCAGACATATGTGAGAAGTACAACCTGTGGCTGCATGTGGACGTGAGTTCATTCAGTCATTCATTTCCAATAATCCTGTCATAATTTCAGTATAAAAGCCTCTTGTCTCTTCCCTGTTCATCAGGCCTGTTGGGGAGGAGCAGCTCTGATGTCCAAGAAGCATAAACACTTGTTAAAGGGCATCCACAGGTGAACAGTTTGATCAAGTCAAAGCAACATTTTGCTTCTAACAACGCTATCGTCTACATAAATTCTCTGCTGTGTTGCTTGTGTCTGATAAGAGTCAACTCTGTGGCCTGGAACGCTCATAAGATGCTGATGGCATGTCTGCAGTGCTCTGCTTTCCTGATCAGGGATAAAACGGTAAGATAGGCTCACTAATAATCTGATAACTCAGCTCCTCCACGGAAACAACACCAGTAAAGCCAGTCGAAAGTGACTTTTGTGTCAATATTAAAGTATCATTTCAATATACAAATAATGAATTGAGTTTCTGATGTTCCGTGAAATGTAAATATGCTATATAAAGCATCCTTGTCATTGTGCTTCCTCAGAGTCTCCTCCAGCGCTGCCACTCTGCTCAGGCCTCCTACCTCTTCCAGCAGGATAAGTTCTATGATGTCAGCTACGACACAGGGGACAAGTCCGTCCAGTGCAGCAGGAAGCCGGACGCCTTCAAGTTCTGGCTCATGTGGAAGGCTTTGGGAACCAGAGAGCTGGAGCAGAGGGTGGACAGAGCCCTCGCCATGGCCAGGTTAGTCTGAGGAAACAGACACATGGCAGAGCTGCGGCTGACACTCAGTGACAGAATGGCCAACTTGGTTAAAATGTGTCAGCACAGAAGCGGTCTGTTAAACACTGTTAACCTCAATTCATGCACCTCGTGACACCGAACAGCAGCCGAAGAAAGATTTTTTTCTTGGATGGAATACTGTACTACATTATCATTATGCATGCAGACTGATGGGCAGGTCATTGTGATGGTAGAGTACTTCCTGACATAGATTTAGAAGTCAGCTGGTGGATATTGCTCTCTAGTGGCAATGTTGTGAATAACCACCACACTGAAAATGTTTATGATTATGTTAGAATGACTTGTAACATTTTAGTAATAACACTTGATAAGCTCACTAGCATATAAATCTAAACACATTATGTGCTAAACCTTAATAAGTGTGACATTCTGAAGATCTTTTTTGCAGGTATCTTGCTCAAGAGATCAAGAAAAGAGAAGGATTCCGTCTGGTGATGGAAGTAAGTTTATCTCAAAAAACAATATATTTCACAGCCTGTTATTTTGCTAATTTCACAGTAACATTACATCATTGCCTGTTTTGAACTGAGCTTTTTTCTCCGCCTACAGCCTGAATATGCAAATGTTTGCTTCTGGTACATTCCACCAAGTCTGAGGAACCTTCCAGATGGTCCTGAGCTCTGGAAACAACTCCACACTGTAAGTAATCAATCAATCACTGAAGAGGGAGATTTTAACATGTTGACATGAGGAGATTATTAAAATGTTCTGAACAGTAAATCGCCCTTGGGGCACAATATTGAAAATGTATCCACCTCTGCTTCTTTAAGGTGATTTGGAAAAAATACGTATACATTTGTCTTTTAATAATTGCTCTTATATTTTACATGCTGTATGTGAATATTTACATTTAATCATATGTCTCAGACGTAACGGGAAAACTTCATATGAACTCTGCCATAGCCAAAGTTTACAGATTCAGCACCTCTGTCTTATTGAAAAAGTCAGTTGAGTCAAATGAACAAGCTTGGGATCCTCTTCTGGATGCATGTAGGATGACAACAGTCAAAACTGAAATGACAGACTTGTATGAGTGTAACTACACTGTAAGCACAGAGTAAAAGTAACAAGCATGAGTACTGTGTAAGACAGTAATAAGTCCTTACAGTGTATCCTCCCTCCTCCTGTAGGTGGCTCCTGTGGTGAAAGAGAGCATGATGAAGAAGGGCAGTATGATGGTGGGCTACCAGACCCACCGTGACAAGCCCAATTTTTTCAGGATGGTGGTCATCAGCCCTCAGGTCAGCATGGAGGACTTGGACTTCGTCCTGGATGAGATACACAATCTGGGAAAAGACTTGTGATGAATAATTCATGTCTATGTAGAGCTTTTCATTCATCTGTCACAGATGGACTTGCCAGGACATTCTCCCCACATTAGAGCAAGAGTGGTTACTGCTCCGCAGGGTTTCCAAGGGGCGTTAAAATGTCTTGAATACGACGTTGACAGGCCCTAAAAATGGATTGGAATGTTACAATCATAAAGTTGCATTAACTTGAGTCTTACTTTTAAATGTGTTTTTGTGAAACATTTGTATTGATCATGCTGTAACACCTACAAAACAAAACCAACATGGACCCCATTACCACTAATGCAAACTGTGCAGCCACAGTCAGAATTTATCAGAGCACACCTGGTTTTCATGTCGTCATGTGGTGTGCGGGGTAATGTGGTGTCTCCACTCAAAAAATATTGCTACTTCTAGAAGTAGGAAGTTAAAATTGTTTCTGTTAACATTACTGTCATCTACAAGGGTTAAGTGCAGGTTCTGCAAGATCTGACTCGAGAACAGCACATTTAGCACTTAGTTAAAGACTTGAAAAATAATGAATTAGAAGCCGTCTGCAGCTTGTGAAAGGAAATGCTCAGATTAGGAACTTTTTGTATAGGAAGGACTGAAAAACTAGCTGCAAAAAGCCACAAATAAACGTGTGCCATCACCCAGTATTGTTCTGTATTCACATCGGGAGCAACACCAAAGTCAGGCCCCAGCGTGAACCACTCTGCATATAACAACTCCAATAAGTGGAGCCCCGATACTGTTTGGACCTACAGCAACATTGAAAGCGGAGATGCTCTGGACTGTACTCATATTAATGAGCTCAAGAACATAAAGGAGATTGCGGCCTAGGCAGAAGAGCTCAGATCAATGTAGCCTAGTTCTTGTGTACACACATACACGTACACACAGTTCTGTGTAGTCATATAAAGTTGTTTGCAAGTAATTCTGGGAAGACTTTTTGTGCCAGGATGTGAAATAGGTCCTAAATTGTGTTGATAATGGTCTTAAAAAGTCTTCAATTGAACTTGAACCCTGTAGAAGTATTAATAAATGTACGTACCATAATGAAGCTTTCCATAGGCATATTATATACTGTAGAACTGTATGAACTGAATAGATGATGATTACAAATGTGCTTTAATGTCCGTAAAATTTCTGATACAATTTTACAAATAAATATCAAGCAACTAAAATAAATGCAAAATATTCAACACACGTTATATATTTTCAACTTGTAGTTTTACTTATCCATGTGTACACATTTGTCTTTTGATGTTTGCTTTTGTACGTGCTTTGTGTGCATTTTTACATTTAATGATTCGCTTGCATCATCACCCGCCACATGTAGATTTGGTTGCATTTCTTTGTGGAGTCTTTTCTAACATCCTCCCCAAGTGTGTGTTGTGTTTGTCCAAAGAGACTTACAATTGCTATATATGTCAGAGCAGCTAGGGGTTATGATGTTTCACAGTGGAATCACCTTCTAGCTCTGTTTTGGTCTCCACCAACTCCTGTGGGACATCTTTTGACTGTGAAGCTGCTAAACGTTCCACCATGTTCACCAGCATCACTAACTTTGTTGTTTGTTGCTAGGCAGGTAGTGTACTGAGATTTAATAATTAATAGAGTTATAAGTGCTGAAAACTGAAAACATCTGCTGCTGTGGCCAGAAATAATGGCGATAAGACTGAACCAAAACTACAGATGTGTGTGTGTTTTTTGTTTTTTGGGTGGGTTGTGTACAAAACCTTTTTTTCTTTCATTTGACAAAAGGAGATCAACTCCGCTTCAAACAACTGGAATGTTAAATGTTAAATATAAACAGTAAGTAAAACACATTGTAAAATCGATCCATTCATTATTGAAATATCTTATCAAAGATTAAGAACACGAGGATTCCAGTATTTGTTAGACAGTTTTTTTAATCTGGTGAATTTTTATTGTTGTTGTCTTTTCGGCCTCGTGTCCTACGTGCTGCCTCACTCATTATGTGCTTACACAGGGGTCATGGATCCACATCCATTTCAGGTCACTGACACCTACCTAGTTGGTGCCGAGCTATTGATCCATTGATTTCTGTCTACAAGGTCTCTGTTGACCTGCTCTCAACTCAATAATCAACCCTCTTGTGAGCTATATCACTACAGATAAACTGAATAAATAGTCACAGAATGCTTCAGTTGCATACTGATAAGTATTTTTTCTATTCTGAGTTGACACTACTGAAACCAGTGTCTATGTATGCTTTGCTGTATCTGAAATGCTTATAAAAACTTACTCACAATGGAACTGCAAAAACAAAACCCAGGAGTCACTTTAGAGGGAAAACATTAATAAAAAATGACCAGGTGAAAAGAGAGTGCTGGATCTATGATTCATGAGTGAAACTTGAAAGACACTCCAAAACCTCTTCCTCAAACGTACATTATTTTCCTGTATTTGGTACATTCAAATAGATATAACAAATTTGTAAAACACTTCAAATCAGTATTATTGTTTTGCCACTTCTATTGTATGTATTTCAAATTATAGCATTTCTTTTCCAACAAATAAACACATGTAAAAACTGTCTTGTATGTAAAAAGTTGTATGACATCATGTGATTTTGACATTTCAATTAATGACTGATGTTTATTTCCAATTTGAGAAAAGTTAGAGGCAGGGAACAGTAGCGACATGCTGTAAATCAACTTTTTGATTAGTAGAAACTAGCAGAGCTCCGAGGTCCATTCTCCCAAAAGGGGAGGGGACAAAAGGGATTGTGGTGGAAAAATGCCTTGATTGTCCACAAGTCAGTCCATGACAGATGAAAAAGTGGGTGGGGGGAGATAGGCTCTTCACTGACACTATTCATCACAAGTCCTTTCCAAGATTGTGAATCTCATCCAGGACAAAGTCCATGTCTTGTCTGCCAGCCTTGGGGCTGATGATGATCATCCTGAAAAAGTTGACCTTGTCTTCGTGCGGCTGGTAGCCCACCATCATGCTGCCCTTCTTCATCATGCGCTCTTTCACCACTGGGGCCACCTACAGGAGGAGGCAGACACACTGTAATGACCGACAGCATTTCACAGCAAACTAACAAAGGGCACTGAGGAAAATTTGGTCATCTCCTCATGTCAACATGTTAAAATCTTCCTCTTCAGTGATTGATTACTTACAGTGTGGAGTTGTTTCCAGAGCTCAGGACCATCTGGAAGGTTCCTCAGACTTGGTGGAATGTACCAGAAGCAAACATTTGCATATTCAGGCTGTAGACGGGGCAAAAAAGCTCAGTTCAAAACAGGCAAAATATTCCAGGTTTAGCTGATAGAGATAGATAGATATATAGATAGATAGATAGATAGATAGATAGATAGATAGATAGATAGATTTAGATATATATTATAATAATATTATATAATACTTTTAATTAATTATTTAAATACTTAAAATTTTGTTGACATCTGAGCTAATGTAACTGTGATATTGGCCAAATTCCAGGCTGTGAAATATATTGTTGATAAACTTACTTCCATCACCAGACGGAATCCTTCTCTTTTCTTGATCTCTTGAGCAAGATACCTGCAAAAAAGCACCTTGATCTTCAGAATGTCACATTTATTAAGGTTTAGCACATAATGTGTTTAGATTTATATGCTAGTGAGCTTATCAAGTGTTAGTACTAAAATGTTACAAGTCATTCTAACATAATCATAAACATTTTCAGTATGGTGGTTATTCACAACATTGCCACTAGAGAGCAATATCCACCAGCTGACTTCTAAATCTATGTCAGGAAGTACTCTACCATCACAATGACCTGCCCATCAGTCTGCATGCATAATGATAATGTAGTACAGTATTCCATCCAAGAAAAAAATCTTTCTTCGGCTGTTGTTCGGTGTCACGAGGTGCATGAATTGAGGTTAACAGTGTTTAACAGACCGCTTCTGTGCTGACACATTTTAACCAAGTTGGCCATTCTGTCACTGAGTGTCAGCTGCAGCTCTGCCATGTGTCTGTTTCCTCAGACTAACCTGGCCATGGCGAGGGCTCTGTCCACCCTCTGCTCCAGCTCTCTGGTTCCCAAAGCCTTCCACATGAGCCAGAACTTGAAGGCGTCCGGCTTCCTGCTGCACTGGACGGACTTGTCCCCTGTGTCGTAGCTGACATCATAGAACTTATCCTGCTGGAAGAGGTAGGAGGCCTGAGCAGAGTGGCAGCGCTGGAGGAGACTCTGAGGAAGCACAATGACATGAATGCTTTATATAGCATATAACGTTTTTTGTATATTGCAATAACGCTCAAGAGGGTATTTTTGAATTATTGACACCTAAAGGAATACATTTAAACTTAATTTTTACCCATGTTGCTTTATAGCAGCAACTGTATCAGGTTATGATGTCACTGACCTAATCAAACTGAACCAATCAGACAGCTTTTATGGGCCCAGTTAAAGAAATTTAGTCAGTTCATGTCAAAATCTTATCTCAAATTTAGTTTGTTTAAATGCAACATCCATCATATGCATTTGAATGCATCTGTGTCTTGTTTGTCTTCCCTAAAGATAGATGAGAAGATTGGGACTGGGGGAAGGTTAGCTTAGCTTAGCTTAGCACAAAGACTGCACTCAGGGGGAAGCAGCTATGGCTCTGTCTCACACAAGACATAACATTTACAACACATAACAAGTTTTAGCTGTACAGAGTAAGTTGTTTTCCCCTGTTTCCAGTCTTTATGCTAAGATGAGCTAACTCTTCCTGGCAGCTGCTTTTTATTTAGCATCCAGAAATGTGTGAGTGGCATCAATCTTCTCATCTAAGTCTTGTCATGAACTATTTCTTTAAAGTGTGGCTGTTAATGTAACAGGATTTCTTGCAGTTTGTATTGTACAGAGTATGTCAGCTGCACATCTGTCTGCTGGCCCACAATGCTAGCTGCCTCTGACAAATGCATACACCAAATCAGGTGTTGTAGCAAAAGCATCAGTCCTCCCATTCATTTAAATGGGTGCAGTGCATTTAGGCTGCGGTGGTGAGGGCCACAGAGGATGCAGAAAAAACACATCAGGCCTATGGGAAAAAGTTGAAACAGAATCAAATTTTGGAGAAACACAACCTGATGTCACGCTGCGGTGGCCAATGACATAAGTCGACGAGCAAACTGCTCCACAATCAGCCTGAAATATCACAGAAACCGATGGCTATGCAAGCAGAGTTCATGGAACAAACCAAATGATTCTCTGCCATTTCTGTCCTCGCTTGGTTTATCTCGTGTACCAAGCTTCGACGTCGGCGTCTGGCAGGTAGTTGAGCCAGCTAAATAGTGAATGAAGAGAGGGAGCTGTGATAGTGTTATTTTTTCTGATTGTTTCACTGGACTTATGTAAAGCACAAATGAACACCCACATCCCACGGCACACCTCTGCACTAATTGCTGCAACACCAGATTTAGTGTGAATACAGCCTTAGTGTGAATGGTAGCTCAGATCCTGGAGGAGTGACCGAAGTAATGGATGGGAGAAATGCCTTGCGAAGGAGTACTTTGGCAGAACTGCTGGTAGAACCGGAATCGAGTAGCTACTAGACCGGTCTCGGATGATCTGACATGGTTGTGTGCCGGGATTCCCTATAGTTCACGAGGGTCTTAAAGGGTTCAGAGATGACTGGACTTTGAAGAAAAAGATGAACGTAAACTGGCCCGATTGACTGACTTCAGTGGCTAAGTTCTTCGAAGCTGGCCTGTAACCCGAGAGAGGGCTATGCTGTTGGTAGCAGAGTTTCAGGGACCATTCTGCTACGATTAGTTTTCTTTGTAGAACCCTTAACAACTTGCAGAATATGTGGCGGCGGTGTACGATTGGTATCTTGGGGTATCACAATTACATACTGAGCCAAAGGCGAGGAGGAATTGGGGATTGAATGCTGATTGCATAAGCTTTCAATCCAGATTACAATGTGAAACAGATTGTGTCGAGAGTGAATCCTAGAATCTACAGTCATGGGAAGACCTGCTGTTTCTCTGCAGACCTTGGAACCCGGAGGTTGGAGAAAACCGGAGAGCTTGGCGCAGCGGCCCTGGTACCACTTGGGGGGCATGTTAGGGTTGCGTGGTCCCTGATTACACCACTGAAGCAAGCTGTGGCTTGGAAGCAGTGTGGATGTGGATTTTTGGTAAAACCATGCCTCTGACTTGGGGACCCGATCTAGAATAATGGCCATGGAATCGTCTTAGTGTATGGAGAAAGTGTAAGCAAACTTTTCAGGAGTGAGTTCTCTCAACCGGGTGGATGTTCTCCCTTTTGGGTAGAGGTACCCTTCGAGGGATCTTTTAGAAGGCGGTTAATGAGGAAAGGGCATGATAAAAAGAACAAGATCTCATGTAGTCTGTAAGGGCAGAAAATTGTTTTATTCTTTACTTATAATCTTTTATGCAAGTACTTATAAGAGTGCTATTTTTCTCCTTTTATTATGTCTTATATATTGTTTTAAATCTTTAACCTGTTCCCCTCTTTATTATTGTTCTTGTTATTCCAGTCTGTCCACATGTGTGGGGTTTAGGTCAGGGATGTGGGATTGTTGATTGTTTTCCTCACTAGCTGTTCTTCTTTGTTCCCCAAAACATAGATGCTCAGACTGTGTAAATGATCATGCAGCCCTTTGCTCTGGGCCAGACGTTAGTGACTGTCTTAGGAGACAGAACCTCTGGTCCAGCTGATTTTGTTGTAGTACTTCTCTGTTTATTCTCTTTTGTTAAATAAATTCTTCAAAGACAACGGTTCATTTTAACTCAATTATTTGCTCAACCTCTCACCAGGAATATAATTTCCACAACATAGTCTACGATATGTTTGAGTAGACTAGTAAACTGAAGAATGGGAGATGAAAGGGTTAGGATGACGAGTAAGAGGATTAGCTCATGGCGGCGTAATGGGTTAAGAGGAAAGACCGAAATTAGAAATGGAAATAACTTGGTGCTGCTAGGGCTGTGGAGGAAAGATGGGTGCCAGTGCCGGAGGTTCTAGCTGTAGTTGATGGACTGGTAAAGATGAGATGCTAGAGATCCTGGCATCCCGGTGCCAGAATCCCAGACTAGAGCGACCAGAGATTGATGGATGTGGGCTGCAAGGGGTTTTGGCATCCCGGTGCCTAATGACCCGAGTAAAGCTAACTCGAAGCGGTTTCCAACAACAAACTGGATGGTTCTATGTAACGAACTGACTGACGCAGTCAGGTTAGTGATGACTGGGAGTGAGCAGCATCCCGGTACCAAAGCCCTTTAATTTTGAAACGCTCGTTCACTCAAAACAACTTTTAACGCTTAAATTGACGTTTGTTTGGAATGACTTGCTTTGAAACAACTGTTCAATCGAAACTACTCTCCCTTGTGACAGCATAGCTCGGAACATGGTTTAAAATGAAAGGAAACAACCGTTAGCTGGATGTTAGCTTGAAACGATTGTTCACTCAAAGCGATTGTTCGCTCAAAACAACCGTTAGCTGGAGGTTAGCTCAAAACTATGGTTAGTTCGATGATAGCTTGAAAGGAATGTTAGCTCGAAATGAAAGTTAGCTTGAATGAATAAAGTAGCAACAAATGTTAACTTGAAAACGACTATAGCTCAAACCGAATTAGCTAGAAGACAACTGCTTGGAATGACTTAGCTGGAAAACGGCTAAACTAGGAAATTACTTTGTTATTTGACTCTTAGCTCAAAGTTAGCTCAAAACGGCTCTTAGCTCGAAACGGCTCTTAGCTCGAAACGCCTCTTAGCTCAAAGTTAGCTGGAAACGCCTCTTAGCTCAAAGTTAGCTCGAAACGCCTCTTAGCTCGAAACGGCTCTTAGCTCAAAGTTAGCTCGAAACGACTCTTAGCTCAAAGTTAGCTCAAAGTTAGCTCGAAAGGCCTCTTAGCTCAAAGTTAGCTCGAAACGACTCTTAGCTCGAAACGCCTCTTAGCTCAAAGTTAGCTCGAAAGGCCTCTTAGCTCAAAGTTAGCTCGAAACGCCTCTTAGCTCAAAGTTAGCTCGAAACGCCTCTTAGCTCAAAGTTAGCTCGAAACGACTCTTAGCTCGAAACGGCTCTTAGCTCAAAGTTAGCTCGAAGTTAGCTCGAAACGCCTCTTAGCTCAAAGTTAGCTCGAAACGCCTCTTAGCTCGAAACGCCTCTTAGCTCAAAGTTAGCTCAAAGTTAGCTCGAAACGCCTCTTAGCTCAAAGTTAGCTCGAAACGCCTCTTAGCTCGCCTCTTAGCTCAAAGTTAGCTCGAAACGCCTCTTAGCTCGAAACGCCTCTTAGCTCAAAGTTAGCTCGAAACGCCTCTTAGCTCAAAGTTAGCTCGAAACGCCTCTTAGCTCGAAACGGCTCTTAGCTCAAAGTTAGCTCGAAGTTAGCTCGAAACGCCTCTTAGCTCAAAGTTAGCTCGAAACGCCTCTTAGCTCAAAACGCTCTTAGCTCAAAGTTAGCTCGAAACGCCTCTTAGCTCAAAGTTAGCTCGAAACGCCTCTTAGCTCAAAGTTAGCTCGAAACGCCTCTTAGCTCGAAACGCCTCTTAGCTCAAAGTTAGCTCGAAACGCCTCTTAGCTCGAGTTATCCTGTTTTGTTTTGACTTTTCTGCTATCTTGAGATGGAGGTAATATGTGAACTGTCCGTTTGTGCGTAACGCGCCACCCGGAAAGGAGCTGGTGTTGACGGAACTGAATGCAAGGCTCGCTGACATGACAGCTTGAAAAGTTTGCTGTATTGTCTGTTCTCTAAATCGGAATTATTTCATTTTAAAAAGTTTTCTGAAGAGTGGCGGTAGTTCGTGTCGAGACTGTTTGACCCGGAATCTCGCTGGCGCGTGGAAACGCTGTGATCAGCTGTTTGATGAGAGGATTCTTCAATGTTTATGGTTGGTGAGGAGAGTGGACCGTGGAAGGCGGATGGCGTTAAAGCTGGACGACTTCAGGATTGTAGAAAGCAGGGCCTCAAGCGTGGAGAAGGAGGAGAGACGGTGCTGGGTCTGCTCACGTGAATGTAGAAGATGTCACGAATGATTCATCGTCCGATGGGGATAACGATGTGCCGACACTTCTCAAAGAGGTAAGTGGATGGAAGTAGCTTGTAATAATTCACGTTATTGTATGTTGCTTTGGTCTCATTTCGTGTGAGGAATGCGAGAGCGAAGAAGAGGAAGCGCGTTGTGTGGGTATTTTTGGAAATGCCGGGAGTGACGTCATTGATGTGTGGTCCCACTCCTGAAACTCTGCTGGTAGCCCCACGCAAAGAGACAACTGAATATCTGTCATGTCCACGAATGCTTGCTGGTTTATACATATACATGACTTTTCTATTGTAATATATTTAATGGTTTTCTGACAGTGAATCAAACTGACTTAATTACTAGTTATACCTAGTCTCAATGTAGGTGTAAGTGTAGGTGTTGTTTCCGTGGAGGAGCTGAGTTATCAGATTATAAGTGAGCCTATCTTACCGTTTTGTCCCTGATCAGGAAAGCAGAGCACTGCAGACATGCCATCAGCATCTTGTGAGGGTTCCAGGCCACAGAGTTGACTCTTATCAGACACAAGCAACACAGCAGAGAATTTATGTAGACGATAGCGTTGTTAGAAGCAAAATGTTGCTTTGACTTGATCAAACTGTTCACCTGTGGATGCCCTTTAACAAGTGTTTATGCTTCTTGGACATCAGAGCTGCTCCTCCCCAACAGGCCTGATGAACAGGGAAGAGACAAGAGGCTTTTATACTGAAATTATGACAGGATTATTGGAAATGAATGAATGAATGAACTCACGTCCACATGCAGCCACAGGTTGTACTTCTCACATATGTCTGCGATTTCATCAATGGGATCAAAAGCTCCGAGCACTGTGGTCCCTGCTGTGGCGTTTACCATGATGGGCACGGCACCCTGAACACACACACGCAGGGTTAATGATGTTTCAGTGTTGTGCACTAAATTATATGTAACAATGTCTCTGTTCAGGCCTCAACAGGTAAGATGACTCCCTCACCTCACTTTTAGCGGCTTTTATTTGCTCCTCCAGAACCGAGGGAATCATTTTTCCTCTGACAAACACACAAAACAATTCTGTTTGACATCAAATAAATGGACCAGTTCACGGGAAAATGAAACTGTATCTACATCCAAACTTACATTCGACTCCAGCACTCAGTAAGTGAATAGGGGATTATAAGATTGACACAGTGTTTACAGTCAAGTTCCACTGAATTTTATTAAAACAGAAACACTATTGTTGATTGAATGAAATCAATGCCAAATGTGAAACTGGAACTAGTCAGACCTGTCTGTCCACAGAGAGGAGATATCAGGTAGAATTTTAAAGTGTGTGTGAGAAGCAGTTTACCTCTCATCAGATGGAACTACGTAAACGTTCTTAGTGCCGACGCCCAGTAAAGCTGCCGCTTTGGAGATGGAGTAATGACACTGAAAGAGATTAAGCAAGAGTCTGTCAGCAAAACATATACCTGAGTAGGTATATATATATAATTTCTATTTTACCATATGATTCACTATATAAACTGTAAATGTCTGGTATATTTTTGAGTATCCCTCATGAGAAGACAAATTTCATCTGCTTAATCACGCAAGTCATTCGTCTCAAGATTCATTTCTGTGAAAAAAATCTCATTAAGAGGAGTGAAGGTGGAGGAGAGCTTCAACACACAAGTCATATTAAAATAATAAAATGAAAAATGATTTTTTTTTTAATTCAGATAAAATCAACCTGTTTAATTCAGAATGTAGTTTCCTAAAGTGCTTGATTTTAACAGAAAATGATTCCTCTATATATATCTTAACATGTTTGAAGGCAGAATTACTAGGATTTTCCTTTAAAAAATGTATATACTCACACCTGTGGTCGTTACTTATGACCTACTAGAAGTGTGTGGCGTGTATCTGCAGAGACCCTGCCCTCTGCCTGAATTATTTTATTTTGCTGTGATCAGGATGTTTCCAGGCATCGGTCTTCTGGCAGTGGTTGTGTAGCCCCCAGACAATAATGCAGCTCAAGGTTTGAGGAAGCTACAAAAATGGCACACAAAGCCACTCAAAAAAAACAGGGTGAATCTGGGGTTGTCTTTTAACCGCTGGTGAAGGAGAGGATGCTACACATACATGTAGCGAAATTCATTCTCTGCATTTAACCCGGAGTGTGCAGGGACAGGGAACCAACTTTAGATCTGTGCCGGTGTCACTGGTCAAAAAACTGGAGAACCTAACATGTGTTTGATGGTGGGGGAAACCGGAGCACCCATAAGAAACTCACACAGACACCGGGAGAACAAGCAAACTCCACACAGAAAGGCCGTGACGACCGGGGCTCAAACCCAGGACATTCTTGCTGTGATGCACAGTGCTATCCACTGGGTCATGAGCCGCCTGTAGAGTTAACCTGTTTTCTGTTGGACAGGTAGGTACCAGAGGTTTGTTCAGTTAGCTTGCTAATTGGCTTTTCCATTACAACAAATGTACTGTAATGTTCCAAATATAATAGCTAGCAGTGTACACTTTACTGTCCTACTACAAGTCCTACTATCAACCAATGCAAAATTACTTTCGAGTTCGAGCTTGGAATCATCACACAAGCCAAACTATAGTAGAAAGTTCAGACTCAGTGCTAGTGTCTGTAATGATCTAACAAGCCTTCAGCAGAATCACTTAGTCTCCCTTTAACTCACTTCTACAGTTATTCTAAAATAAATGTTCTCTAAAGTTTTATAAGTGCCTGTAAAGCCTACCTCCTGTGATGTGAAGATGACCAGTCGTGGAGCAGCAGAGAGGCCGAGCTCTTTAATGTCAGGGCAGTGACTGTACCTGGCTAAGTTCACAGCGTACATGTTGGACATTGAGCCACCTGGAAGGAAAACCCGTGTGATGAGTTAAAACAAAGGTGCATTGAGGCTGCATGTATCCCATTATAGGTTGAATGAAATGATTACTGAACAATGAAACAAAGGCTGTCATAGCAACAGAGGTGTTATCATCAGTATCTGTCAGTGATTGTACCTGCATTGAAGATTCCGTCTCCTTCCTCCCAGCCGATCATCTCCATCATCTTCTTCAGCACAGCACCCTCCATCAGGGTAAAGACTGGAGCCACCTCATATGTGTACCTGATGGAAGCTGCAACCTTAGACCATTTGCATGATTTTTAAACTTAACACATTTGCAAGCATACTGTATATTACAATTAAATGTGTGACTCACAGACTGGGTTTGAGGGCCTCCGCGATGAAGCTCGCCACCATGGAATATGGCTCCATTCCTGCATACAGCTGGTTGAAGAAACGAGGATGGGCTAAAGAGATGATGAAGAGCAGATTGAGAGCAGGTAACAATCAGATGAATGTCAGTTTGAGAAGCTGCAGTCCAACATCTTTCAGTGTATGCATATTTACTACCTTAACTAGTTTACAAAATATGGTTGCAGATGATAATTGGACTTTATTTGGAAGTCTGTGAATTATTGTTTGCCTCTGAGGGTGAGCAGTGGCTTGTCAACAGTACAAATATCAGTGACTGTCTAAGACTTTAACTTAACACAAACCATGACTAAGGTTCTGTTATCTAGCACCTGACAGCCCACAGCAGCCCACCATCTATTTCTGATATCATATGAATTGATACTGCAGACCAGTTTGCCAGTTCCATTTGCCAGTGTGGAGTTACTTGTACATAAGAGTGAGCATGGCAAGCCAGGGCCCGGGGGAGGCTGCTATATTCAGTCTGAGCACTGGTTTTGCAAAAGAAAACATTTCTTGAGTTTGACTCCCTGAACTGAGTCTGATCTGAATCCAATAAAGTCAGAAGACTTACTGGTCTTGACGCTGTATCTGATGGCATCTCTGCAGCGCTGCAGGATCTCTGACTCTGACTCTCCTTCGTCTCTCAGCTCCAGGTCCAACAAGTCCTTCAGCTGCTCGGGGGAACGCCACTCACAGACCTGGTCAGTATGGACACACATCCTAATAATCCTCTTAAGGTGTTGGTCTGTAGCAGAAATGTACTCTACGTCATTGTCAAACTGCAGACTCTTTTGAAATTGACCTTCAAGATGCTTTCACTTACAGCAAAATCTAAAATGCTGAGTAACTGTTAAGAATTTAACAGTTTTATGTAAGTCTACATATCTACACAGACTAGTAGGAAATTGCACCTTTACCTTTTCTCTGACATCTGTGGCCTTTTTCACTGCATTTTCCATAATGATGGCCAAGGACTGTTGAATAAAGTTCTCTGCTGCAAGTACATTCAGAGTAGAGTTGTTCAGGGCAACATCATCTGTGACAGCTGGAGAACATTTCTCTGGATGTCCAGGATCTGCCTTGGGGCTCTGACTTTCACTGGGATTCTCTTCTGAGTAAAGGAAAAACAAAGTTATTGGAGTTCAGACATCAATGGCTTAAAAAATGAAAAAACATTTATGAAAAGTTGTGTCTAGGTCATGGTTCAATGTTCTTATTATGGGGGAGATTCGGGGGTCTGACCCCCTTAACTAAGACTTGGACCCCCCCAAAGGAGGCAGAAACAATCAGTCTTTCTTCCCTGTAATTGTAAATGTTACAATATATTTCCCATATTAATGCCTCAAGAATCTTGAAATATGATTTCAGACACCTCTAAAGAGGCCCATACCATTTCCTAACCTTGACATTAGTTGAATGGTCTACGTCACAGCTGCTCATGTAAGTCCAGTGCATCACACAACGAGCTAATGGAGACACTGTAGGTTAATGTCAGTAATTAGCTATCTAACTTGTTTAATACACTTAACTTTCTTACTAGATAGCATTTATTTTACTTAAAATGAGCCATCTGCTGTTAGCTAGCTGATAGCCCGTGCTTTCATTTGCAGTGTTGGCTTGGCATTTCATTACCATTATAAAATATCATATTTAATCTAATTGTTAGCCAACACTGGTGCTTAGGGATGAGCAGGGAAATAAAGCATTACTTATTGTGGAGATACATTTTGATATCAATATAGAGATTATTATTTCATTTTAAGTGTTTTGTGAGCATTTTTAATAAGCACACAATTTGTTTTCACTCTGGGATTTAGGAGTTTTACCTGGCCAGGTAGGCCTAATTGAAAAATGTTAAAATCCAGGTGTGTTATTTCTAATGAACGACTGCTGCTTTATTAAACGCAGATTACATTTCATTCACTTTCTGGCAGTTTTGCTCTGGTGTGTCACAGTTGGTCCTGTGACAGTTGGAGGTTGCTTCCTTGTTTTCTTTTCCTGTGGTGTTCTGTGGGCGTGTGTGGGTGTGTCTTTCCCTCGGCAGGGAGCTGGTCGCCCGGCAAGGCTACACACCTGTTGCCAATCCTCATCTACACCTGGTCTTAATGTGTGGGGCTCCCTGAGACTCATCGCCAGATTATTCCTAGCCATAACTTGGTTGAGTACTTCAGGCCAGCTTGTTTCCTGAGCGTTTAGTCTTTTTCCAGTGTGTCTCTGCCTGAAACCAGATTGATGTTTATTTGTTTATCTCCTTTTTCAAGTTGCCGAGTCCGGTGTCATTTGCCCTGCTTGGAGGATCTCTAGGAGAGCGGATTGCCCCTGCTCACATCTCACCCACTACCATTTTGTCCTTTGTGAATAAACTCTTTACTTTGAGGGGCTTTGATTGTTCTGTATCCGCACCCCGGTCCTCAGTCTTACTAAAACCTAACATGGTGACCCCTGACTACAAACGTTGTTGTGTGGTTTGGGGCATCCAGGAACTTGTGTAATGAATTTATCGTCATCAGACTGCACACATTACGTTCAACAATCAAGGATGTTGTAAGCTTTGTGAGATAGTGAAATATGTGCACTTCTGTGCCTAGAATACTCATATCGGTTTAGTGGTTACCTAATGACTGCTACATGTTGACTCAGTAACTAATCCTTCTGGTATTTTCCACTTTTTCAGACATACATATTCGGTTCCTCTTTCCAGTTAGACAGTGAATTTAATTTACATCTTTCACTCTAGAAACTACATGGTTATAAAGTACATCCAGCCTCATGTATATTCCATTAGAAAGAGATGTTTTGCAGTCGGATTGGATAAAGTGTGCCTGAACACGACTGACATTGCATGCTGTAGGCACAAGCTTAGTGGAAGCAGCCCTGTTTGCTGTGTATAAAAAAATATGACTAAACAAATGAAGGTATAGTGTATTTCAAAATGTTCAGTGATTAAATCGTTTTATCAAATTTCTCTTGTGAAGTAGAAGTAAAATAAAATTCATGTAGACTCACCCTTCAAGTGTCTTTCCATGGTTGGTGCAGTTTCTTTGTGTTGGTGCTGTCTATTGTGAAGTTACAGTGGGATGTCACTATTTAATCACCTCAAACCATCCTGGTGACGCTCTAGGTTTCAACCCAGAGTTGCGCCATCGAATGCCCCTCCCAGTAACATTCCATTAGAACGGTCTGTAGGCTACTAATTGAGAAAAGTTACAGCTGTTTCATAGTCATTTTTGTTTCATTCATTAAGGACAAGCAGGGACAGCCAGGCCAATATAGACCATACAACTCTCTCATTTACAGTAATGGCATTTTACAGGTCTATATGAAAAGACATTTAGGTCTACTACAGGTGTAGAGCGAAGGGCTCTGTCTGTGCTTCAACACTGTCTGCTGCTACATCTTCAAGTGGAATCAATATAGGCTGGAAGTTTTGCTCCCCCAGCAAATTCCCCTGGCAAAATTCCACCCAACTCCGAAAGGTTTGACCAGCCTCAACCAAACTCCATTCAAGTTTTGGAGTATTTTAAAAGGAAAAAGGAAAATCACAAAATGTCACATTTTGCACAACCCTGCACAGGCAACTTTTTATTTTCTGAAACATTAGGTAGTACTTTACACAGTTGGCTTATTGGAAATTTTGTTCTGTGCAAATGGGGCATTGAGTCATACACTCACCTAAAGGATTATTAGGAACACCATACTAATACTGTGTTTGACCCCCTTTCGCCTTCAGAACTGCCTTAATTCTACATGGCATTGATTTCAACAAGGTGCTGAAAGCATTCTTTAGAAATGTTGGCCCATATTGATGGATAGCATCTTGCAGTTGATGGAGATTTGTGGGATGCACATCCAGGGCACGAAGCTCCCGTTCCACCACATCCCAAAGATGCTCTATTGGGTTGAGATCTGGTGACTGTGGGGGCCATTTTAGTACAGTGAACTCATTGTCATGTTCAAGAAACCAATTTGAAATGATTGGAGCTTTGTGACATGGTGCATTATCCTGCTGGAAGTAGCCATCAGAGGATGGGTACATGGTGGCCATAAAGGGATGGACATGGTCAGAAACAATGCTCAGGTAGGCCGTGGCATTTAAACCATGCCCAATTGGCACTAAGGGGCCTAAAGTGTGCCAAGAAAACATCCCCCACACCATTACACCACCACCACCACCAGCCTGCACAGTGGTAACAAGGCATGATGGATCCATGTTCTCATTCTGTTTACGCCAAATTCTGACTCTACCATCTGAATGTCTCAACAGAAATCGAGACTCATCAGACCAGGCAACATTTTTCCAGTCTTCAACTGTCCAATTTTGGTGAGCTCTTGCAAATTGTAGCCTCTTTTTCCTATTTGTAGTGGAGATGAGTGGCACCCGGTGGGGTCTTCTGCTGTTGTAGCCCCTCCGCCTCAAGGTTGTGCGTGTTGTGGCTTCACAAATGCTTTGCTGCATACCTCGGTTGTAACGAGTGGTTATTTCAGTCAAAGTTGCTCTTCTATCAGCTTGAATCGGTCGGCCCATTCTCCTCTGACCTCTAGCATCAACGAGGCATTTTCGCCTACAGGACTGCCGCATACTGGATGTTTTTCCCTTTTCACACCATTCTTTGTAAACCCTAGAAATGGTTGTGCGTGAAAATCCCAGTAACTGAGCAGATTGTCAGGCCCGTCTGGCACCAACAACCGTGCCACGCTCAAAATTGCTTAAATCACCTTTCTTTCCCATTCTGACATTCAGTTTGGAGTTCAGGAGATTGTCTTGACCAGGACCACACCCCTAAATGCATTGAAGCAACTGCCATGTGATTGGTTGATTAGATAATTGCATTAATGAGAAATTGAACAGGTGTTCCTAATAATCCTTTAGGTGAGTGTATAGTATAAGGTGACATATTAATTCTATTGAAAACTGTCAGCTGCTGTGATGCCCATCACATTGTGCGTGTGTGTGTGTGTGTGTGTGTGTGTGTATGCACTACAGTTAGCTGGTATTCTGATAATTGTAGATACTTGGAAGGTGGCATATGCAACAGCCGTTACATGACTTATCTTCCTGCTTCCTACAAAATGGAACAAGAACAATGAGTTCTAAATAAAAAATTACAATTTGAATTCTAACATCAATTAAGTTATGACCCCAATATTACCAAAGAGGTCTAACAGAATCAAAGAGTCAATGGCTTGAAAACAAAACATTAGGTTTATTAAATAAATTATCAAAAAAGGCCCCAAAAAAATCAACCCCAAACAATCAATACAACAAGTCTGATGGGCTGGCCAAAATGAATATAAGAAAGGGAAGCCCTCCAGGCCAGCCCACAAAGGGCAGTTGGATCTGGAGTCTTCCTTCTACCCTAAACCAAACAGAAATAAAGCCATGAAGACAAGACTACCAAACCCATCAGAACATACATAAAACAGTCAAGAAACAAGAATCTACAAACACACTGGTCACAAACCATCTGAAATTCAAATACTGAGAGAAGTTTTGTAACACACATACAAAGCAATGGCTGAAACTGAAACAACTCTTTGAAGACTGAGTGCACAGGATGCAATACAATCCACACATACAAATATATATACACTTTGGTCGTGCATGTGTGGGTGTGCACGTATACACACACACACACACCTATTTTGTGTTATTGTATTGTTAAATGTCTCTGGTCTGGTTTGTTTTATATTGCTCTCCACTTGATTTTAGGCCTGGATCTTATTGCCTGTACTGGATGTATTTATTGTATGTACTTTAATGGTTGTAATTTGGTAAACTCAACCCCCATTTCTGTTTTAGCTTTAAAAAGCCTAACCAGGGCCAGGTGTTGCAAATTAGTCATGGCTAGAAACCTGTATGTGTGGCATCTACTTTGTATACTTTATGAAGCAATATCTCATGCATTTGTCCCTGTCAAATAAACAAAACTGCTGCAGTCATAACTGGAAGGTGGGCAAGAGAGAGAACTAAGGCTCCTACCCCAATCTTTATTGTCTCTTCACTTAATCAGACCAAACATGATACACTTGAGGAAAGAACAGAAGACATCATCACAATCATTTGCACATCATAACCAGCAGGGGGGGAGGGGGTGTAACAAATGGCTTTTCAAAAAAAAGAAAAGCTGTGTCTAGGTAACACACAAAATACTCCCAACAAGTTTTTCCAATTTAGTCCTTAAAACAGATAAAGTACTTATTTTAATATTCATGCCTTAGCTTATTTCATTAATAGCTTCAATTGGCTCTTTTCAAATTAATCATAAACCCAATCACTGTTTTACCTACACCCTCAACCTTGTTTTGACATCTGGCATTGAAATTGAACATTTAATTGTCTTTTCACAGAATCCCTTTTTATCAGACCACTATTTAATAACTCATGAGTTCCTATTACCGGCCCACACACCATTAGGCAAAAATTACACAAGATGTCTATCTGATAGTGCTGAAGCTAAATTTAAGGAAGGGATTCCATTAAATTTAATACCATATCTCAATATAACTATAACTATGGGACTCCATGCTGACTTCAGTCCCTCCCAAATTGATCATCTTGTTGATAGTGCTGCAGCCTCACTTGCAAATTACACTTGACTCTGTTGCCCCTCTAAAAAAGAAGATTATAAATCAAAGATGGTTGGCTCCATGGTACAACACTGAAACTCACAAATTAAAGCAAACATTGCGGAAAGTTGTAAGGAAATGTCTTTCCACCGATGTGGAATAATCTTGTTTAATCTGGTAAGATAGTCTTAAAACTTATAGGAAGGCTTTCTGTAATGCCAGAGCAGCATCTTACTCATCGTTAATACTAAACTCCAGGTTTCTTTTCAGCTCCGTATCCAGGCTGACAGAGAGTCACAGCTCTATTGAGCCATGTATTCCTAAAACCCTCAGCAGTAACGACTTCATGAGCTTTTTTAATGATAAAATTCTAATTATTAGAGACTAAATTCGTCTGACTTTACTGAGATTTTCTTCTGAGTAAAGTAAAAACAAAATAATTTGACTTTTTACATAACAATAGTTTATTTGAGGATTTTCAGCACATCATAGCACAGAGACAGCACTGGTGAAAATTACAAATGATCTTCTAATTGCATCAGACAAAAGACTTGTCCCTGTACTGAGAGTTGAACATTTAATTGGCATTATGGAGCCGTTCCAAGCTGGTTTAAGTCCTATATATCAGATCAATCTCAGGTTGTACGTGTTAATGATGAATCCTCCATGCACCATCTTTTCCTATAGAGCTCCTAGTCCCTTGTTACACCCCTGCGCTCCCAGAATGCAGGATTACTTGTGGTTTCCTGGAGTCTCCAAACGTAGAATGGGAGTCAGAGCCTTCAGCTATCAAACTCCTCTCCTGTGGAACCAGGTCCCAGTTTGGGTTCGGAAGGCAGACACCATCTCCACATTTAAGAGTAGGCTTAAGACTTTTTGTGCTTTCTCATCCCTCTCCTCTCTCCTTCTGTCACTTTCTGCAGGTGTTTCTGGCTCCTGAGCTGTGGAGTCTGGATCTGTGGTTGACGGCCACGTGCTGCCCCCATGTTCCTGCTGGACACCAGCTGCTCCATTATTATTATTAGTCCTATTATTATTATCATTATTATTGCGATCATTTTTATTTAAATTGAATTACTGATATTTGTATTATTACCGCTAGTGCTATTATTTCACATATCTCTATGTGGAAATTTTGCATTGTGCTACCATGTGTTCTCTTTCCTCCTGCTGTCTCTCTCTCCCTCTCTTTCTAACTCTCTCTCCCCTTTCCCCCTCCCCACTCTAAGTCTAGGTTCTGCTCAAGGTTTCTACGTGTTAAAAGGGAGTTTTTTCTTGCCACTGTTGCCAAGTGCTTGCTCATGGTGGGAATTGCAGGTATTGAGTAAAACAAAGAGTACAGCCTAGAATTGCGCTATTTGAAAAGTGAAATGAGATAACTTCAATTGTCAATTGGCGCTGTATAAATAAAACTGTCTTTTAATAAATCTGACAAGGGATTGATGTGGATTACGGGATCGGGTTGAGATCAGCAGGTTCATCAAGCCCATATGGTTCAATATGGATCAGGCCTTAATATAATTCTCTTTGCGTGATCTGCTAAATTGTATTGCATAAACACAGATACTAAACTGTTTCATAACCAGGGGATTTGAGCAAAGCTGCCCATCCATGAATTCTCTCTTTTCAGTGTCTATTTATTGCACAGTGTGCATTTGCATTTTGTCCAGCTGCTGTGTGTGGGTGGGACAACAATGTTTACTGACAAGAACAATAAAGCACAGTCCTTTGTGTACAAGTCCAGCTCATGGAAAGATCAAGGCCCTGTTCTTCTTACATGGATACTCAAGTCCTTAAGCCCAAACCTGCAAAAGTGCAGGATCATCAACAGTTAGCTGGATCATTTTAGGGTGAACCTCATAAACTTATTTTCAAATACAAATAGCTCATTATTACAATTGCATCAATAAAGTGTTGATATAATTATGATTTTAGATGGGAACATGCAAATCATTATGTTCTGTTGGTGTAAATTTTCAGAATGAAGAGATACCTGTACTTATACACGATCAAATATACACACCTACTTCATGTAACTGCAATCACGTGAATTTTCGTGCAATCCGATCAAATGAATGCTGAACATAGTTTTAACAGTCCATTAATTTTTCCTTTTAGGACATTTCTAATTAAGAGTGCACAGTTAAGTCAAGATAACTTAATCCAGGATTAGCAAATCAGTCCTCAAACTGCTTTCAAATAAGCAAATAAAATGGATTAGAATTAACAGTATTATTTTAGCCTGATAACCTGATAACAACATGTTAGTCTGAATTAGTTAAGCCACATTTGAAGAACAGGGACCGGGAGTTAAAACAGCACGTGCATCTTCCATTTTTACATTTGCATTTACATTCCTCACCTCTGCTTTTTGCAGGGACCTTCTTCTTTTCACATACACACACAAACAAACAACAAAAACATAATGCTTATTCTATCAACTAACAAATTAACCTATACAAGTAGACTCCATGAAGCAGAACAGGCTGTGTGGGTGCTAAAATTGGACCTAAACTGCTGCATCTCTACACAACTGAAACCATGAAAGCTTTGTCACACCTTCACTTAAATATACACATTTATGGTTTACCACTGTGCTAGCAGCAGGAACACAGCTCACCACAAACTGCTTGCTGCTCTCAATAGTAGGATAGCTGCTGATTGTGTAACATCTGCGTGCACAGTGCAGAGACGTGACATATTAATGGATTTGTCTCATTAGCTACAAAGGTTACTTTCCACCACTTCATTAATTACTGTAATAGCTGCCACTGTTAAAACATGTGAGATAGGATTGGTGCAATGGGGATTCGTGGATTGCTTGTTTAAGCATTTTATCACTCTTTTCATATGGGTGTTGACAGAAGTGGGTCTGCATTCTGTGATGGACTGATACGTGCATTTTACATTAATATGTCAATAAGATATTTAAGTGCAGAGTCTGCAAAGGAGGAATTCAGAAATTGCATTAAATCCACATAAACATTTTCATAAACCAGCTGACACATAAACCAAAAGACAATGCTGTTCCAGATTACGGCTCAGGCCTGCATATTAATAACAACATTTCTGAAACAAGGAAATTCGTCGACCATCGGATTTGAAAAATGAAACCAATCTATCTTTGGTGTTATTTTCACATATACCACATTATGCAAAATGAGTGTGTCGATGTCCCCTTTAAAACCAATCTGTGCTCCAAAACTTTTATCTTGCTTTATGCAGAACTCTCTTTCAGTGTTATAGATGTGGAAGATCTGAAGATAGGACATCTGCAGTTCCTCACTTTAATTAGTTTTTTTGACTTCTGCAACAGTATGAACACCTTTCACGATGTTACCTTGTATATCATCTGTAGAGCTGAGTTAATATGGGATGATACAAGAAGATACAGGTCAACCTTAAACTCCCTACCTCATTTCTCCTGCAGTGTGTAGCAGTTTTGCAGACACTGCAAAGAAAAGCAAGGCAGTTTATGCAAGGAATGTCAATGGGCAAGATAAATCCTGCTCCAAGAAAATGGGATTTTGCCTTTGTTATTTTTTGCCAAAGAATGTCCTCTTTCTCTTTACATTCCTCCCTCGTGGATACACATCACCTGTTTTTACATATGGAGACAAGATTATTTTATATATAACGCATTTCATTACAACCAAACTCAATGTGCTTACATTAAAATGCATGTGCAACGAGCCACCCACCAATCCAAAGACAGTGAAGACCCCACAGACATAAACCACAGACACAGAAATGCACCAAGGGATTATTTAAAAGGCTGCACTACGTATATTACTGACATCTGAAAATAAATCAGAGGTTCCTGACTTACCCACTATATTTCACATAGCTGCGTGTGAATGAATTTCCTGTCTCTGGTTGAAGTACGTTAGTCTTATCTTTATTTAGCTGTAAAAGCATCAGTTCCATCTGTGACTGTTGTCAAGCAGGAATATGTATAATTTAAAAAAGCAGTGGTCCAATAATTGACCCTTGTTAAATCCCTGATTCATTCTTTTAAAATGAAATCTTCAGATGTAAACATAGCAGTTCCTTTCCAATAAAGACCCTAACAATGTTGAGTGCTTCTTCATAACAGTGAGGATTCATTACTAAATAAAAAAATAATCATAGTCTGGAAAAACACTGCCTACTCTGTTTTACAATCAAAAACTCAGGTAATCTGCTTCTGCTTCATCGGGACTATGTGAGTGTGTTTCAATCACATTTAATTGATAGTCACCAAACAACTGAGCAACTGGCAGTCAGATTTGGATTTAGATGTTGCAGAACCCCGCATCAAAATGTGACATCACCTTCTTCCTACTGCGTCCCATCTACTTCAAACATTTGAGAAGCACGCAGACAAACACACAAAAGCACAAAATCTTTCATCTGAAATAACCAAAACTGTGACTTAGGCAGAAGATGTTGTGTTCATGCGCAACTGTGTCACTCAGAAAATATGTTTTCAGGGATTTTGTAGAAGTGAACAGCAAAGGCTTGAAGTCTTTCAAATAGAATGTCATGATCAACCGTATCAAAGGCAGCTATGAGATTAAGCAAAACTAAAATGGGAGTGGAAGGATGAAACCCGAAACTTGAAAAACAATATTTACATTCATCTCACAGTTCTCAAGAAAGCTTCTGAAAGAGTACATCATGAAAAGTTGGCAGAATGATGAATCATTTACAATGGTTCAGAAATAAAAATAGATAAAGATACAATATAGAGACAAATGTTTGGATCCTCTTGGTTAACCTCGGAACAATGGCTATACGTGCACATTGCAGTGACATTACTCTCAGTATTAAGTCTTTTTTCACTCTAAGCTGATGAGGGCCGACTCCGTTCAGCATCGAGGTGAACCTCATTATAGACTCCAAACATTTCTTTTTGTTCAGAAATCCTCCCCTTTGCTTCAGCAGATACTTGATGAATTATGAAGCTCTGGAGCTCCTCCCCGAGCGGATCAGCTCTTTCATCTCAGGACTGTCCCTGTCTTTGTTTCTTTTTGTGAGAATGGGTTTTAACAGGGCCTCTCTCTCTCTGCCTGCTTGTCTCCAAGACACATAGATCTAATGGCCTCAGATTCCCTAAACTGCAGGAAAGAATCCAGCTTTGTTTTATGGGCCAGAGATGATGTTTCCTGTTAGGGAAATAAAGTATTGTGGATCTGTTGCTCTGCCAAGATCACACTGTTTTTTTCAGTATATGCACAGTGATATAACTGAATAAAATAGAATAGATAGATTTACATGTTGACCAATAAAGAAACAGTCTGTAGGGCAACACTTTTTTTTATCAATAATTTAGACATTACACAATTTAATAAAAAATGAATTAAGCTTCTTACACTTTTTGAAGTCTGCAGTTGTAAATGTTAATAAGTTGTTTTGTGAATTTTGTTCCAAATGCTAAGCAGCTATTTCCAGAAGATCAGAGAAACGATCCATTGGGGTTGTCTTTCTGATGAACTAAAGAGCTAAACAGACAATTCAAGTGTCCTGTGGTAGGAGGAAAAACACCAGCCACAACCGTACATCCACCCATTTTCCACCGCTCATCTGGGTCTGAGTAGGGGTGGCAGCAGGCTGGTAGCCCATATGCAATTTCCCCTTATCTCTGCATCTGCTACTTCAATTTTGATCATTCTTTTTATGTTTGTGTCCGAGTCCTCCAAGTGCAAAACCATTTATAAATGGCTAAGTGGCTTATCAGAAAGTAGTCCCAAACATGGACCTTGTTCACAGCAGCATGAAGTTGCGAGTTTCAACAAATGTCTTAAAGTGGATATCTTTCTCCATTGGGAATTCCAGCTCATTGCTTCCGGTGTGAATAAGTAAACCACTGGCACAATCTGGGCCTACAGTTGACATAAAGCCACGGTCATGTACGCTGGCTCTTGTTTTCACAGTGTATCCAATAGTTCCTGTGAAATTCATTTATTTCATTGGCTCGTGTGACTCCTGCGCCCCGCGCTGTTTGCGTGCCATACGCTCTTCCCTCTGTCCGTCACGCGCTGTCTTTCGCTGTTCTCTTGCGCCAGAGCGTCTTAAGCGGTGAGGGTGCTCTCCTGTCATTGGTCGCTCCCGTTGTCTGTCAAGCTCGCTCTGCCGTGGGATTGGGTTTCTCCAGGAGCTGTGTCCCTCTTGGCCGTACCTGTCTCTCCGTGAGAGGCTAACAGCTCTTCCTGCTCCACGAGGAGCTCCCGCCCCTTCAGCCCAAGGAAGGAAGGAAGGAGGAACTTGCTCGAGACGCATGTGTCACTTCCAGTGTGCTGCGAAACCCTGCTGCTATGTGACTCCCCGGGATTATTTAGCTGGTTTTGCGGTTGGTGGGGAAGTAAAGTTAGAAAGTTTGGATTTACAGTCGGTGTTTTTGGGGGTTGCGGGGCGCGCAGGGAAGGTAGTGCAAGTGGTTTCGGAAGTGGAGCGTGGCAGCGAAAAGGAAGAAGGGGGGGGGGCTTTCCATTCCTGTGTGATAGAAGATAGCTCGCTTCGCTTGCTTGCCACGACGGGACTGACGTAGAATATGGCGGAGCATCACCCGGTTTCCGACAACAAACACAAATCCTCTCTGAACTCCGGAGCGTCGTACTCGGGGAACGGACGCAGCAGCACGGCGGTCGCGGAGAGAGGCAGCAACGCCGGGGCAGGAGGAGGTCTGTCCGGCGGCCTGTCGCAGCCAGCAGGGTGGCAGTCCTTGCTGTCTTTTACCATCCTGTTCCTGGCCTGGCTGGCCGGTTTCAGCTCCAGGCTCTTCGCTGTCATTCGCTTCGAGAGCATCATTCACGAGTTTGACCCCTGGTGAGTTTGTTCCCCTCCACACCCCGAGGTGGTTTGACCCGTTTGTCATGATAGGCTGCAACAAATGGACAGTGAGCCCCGCTGCACTGTGAGGAAGTTTGTTTTAAAACATGTCAAGTGAACGGTTCTAATATCATATCTTGTCACGCGCCTGAATTCACAAATGTCCTTGTTTCCAAATGCACATATTGGGTTTTCTCTGTATCTCGCCAGGATCATTAAGCTGATGGGAAAAATACACCACTTAATTTGGGCTCAGTTTAGTTAGTGCATTGTACCAGCCAGTGGAGGAGGAGGAGGAGGAGGAGGAGGGGGTCGTCAAAGCAGAGTAAATGAGGACAATGGTGACAGCTTCATCTGACGCGGGCTGAACCCGGAAAGACGCAGCCGCGAGGTGACTGGATGAAGTCCTTCTATCACAGATTTCTTCTGTTTACCCGCCGGGTATTTAATCACCTCTGCTGATTACAGAGTCTAATATAGTCTGTGTGCCACACAAATACTCCAATAGGAGCACATCATGGGCCTCAGCAACTTTACAGGGAGCAAATTATACCATATCCTGCACATAATTCCTGCAGGCTTTGGCAGGACATCAGCATATTATCCTTAATAAAATATTGTTTGTCCTTTTAGAAAAGCAACATGCTTCTTATTCTACATGATAATTTTCAGTATTCCCTTTCAGATAGCTTTTGGAAGTCTCATTTAACCCTTGCAGTAAGAGCATTTCAGCAAGACTTGCATTGAGTACTTTGGCCGTGTTGCGGTACAAGCTGCTGGTTTTAAGTGTGAAAAGGGTTTCCTCACACTGTGTCAGACATTAGTGCAGCCAGGCGGCAGCTGACAGTTGGACAGTGAGGTTAGCAGACTTTGCTGCAAGTCAAGACAAGCTGTAAGGATGCCTAGTTAAACTCTTTGACTAGCCTAGGCACCCTGACACCTGAAATGACTTTCAAAGCCATATGAATCTAAATACTGACTTATTGTCACGCAGGATAAGCATGAAGATGTACAAAAATCAGACTCTTGGACTAGGCATGTCTGCATTCCCTTCCAATACATATGATTTCTCAAAGCTTACCAGATTACACAGGCCAGCGCTTTGCCTAACCAGAGCCGATGCTCTGCCGTCATATTGTTTGTATTTCATTTCAAAACCTCTACCAGCTTGGCTTTTGCCAGAAATTGTCCAAGCCTTTTATTTGTACTCCAAGGGACTGTTGCATGGCACAAGCTTGCATTGCATCAGTGAAAGCATTTAATGATTATTCTGAGACCAGCAGTGGGGATTAAAACTGCCAGCTTCACGTCTGTCTGCTGAATAAAAGAGGAGGCTTGAGAGCTTTGGCTGGGCGAGAATCCCTCAGTTTCGGTGTGTCACTGTCTAAAAGCCTAATATGGCACGACATGGAGTGAAATTTATTCATACACTACTTCATTGTTCTATGATTCTCGCTTTGCTATCAGAGTGGCAGCATTATGTAAACTAGATGTTTGGATGGCTGAGGAGACATGTGTGAGACCTGCTGTGGTGGAGGGTTATACCCTGCAGGAAATGAGCAGATGATGCAATATGTTAAAGATCAGGTAATATTTGTTCTACATTTAACACCTGCTTAATGTATTAAAATCAGTCATACATTTTTGAATTGCATTACAGAATGCACCAATTGATTTTTAGATCAAAGGTAATAAATCAGTTTTCAAATAGTGATTTGAATGTCTTAGGCAGGCGTTAACAATCTTCCTCGCCTCATGTGTTGGAGGGGAAACCCCTGGAGTGTGTGTGTGTGTGTGTGTGTGGATTTGTGAAGAGGAAGTAGCTCGTCTTTGACTGTTGTAAATGTACCACAGGCTTGAGTTTGAACCTGCTGTCTTTCTGTCAAACAGACATTTTATTTGTGGGGAAGGAGTCACATTTTCTTTTCTTCAGAGGTCATACTAAAGAAACTTCAAGGTTGTCGGGCATTCAGGAGGATGAAAGCAGCTTGGATTCCAACCTTTTCCAATCACTGTTTGACGGCGGTTCCCTCAATCCCACAACCTCACTGTGAGGTTGTCGTCATTCTGGAGCTTATCTTTAAAAGAGGATCGCAGGAGAGCGAACAGTCGTGTCACCCCACTGCTACCCTGTTTGCGCCCTCTCTCCCTCTCGCACACTCTCTAATACGTCCTTTTGATGTGGCTAGTTAATAATCTTTTTTTTCCCTTCAGAAGTACTAGATCGCGCTTATTAGATCTGACAGCAAAGCGGGTCGGGACTGGCGACAGGCAGCCGGCCTCATAGATGTTATGCTTTGAGTTTGGGCTGTATTAATCAGGCACGGAACAGCATCAGAAAGAAAAAAAATCCCCAGCTCCATTAGTACTTATGTCTGTGTCTGATGCACTAAAGGTTGCTAGCTAGAGAGCTGGACCTCCCTCAGAGTGAGGTCTGGCAAGGAGACAGCGTCTGAGCTACCTGTCATCTTGTGCTCAAAGCTCCAGCTCATAGAATAATGGTGTATATAGAACTTTTTTTTAGTGCAATTAGTGTCACTTGGTGTCTAGTTGATATCAATGCAGTAATGAAGTCATTCTTCTTTTTGTTAGCATTGTCGTCATATCTGCTTCACATCTCAAGTAACCAAGATGATCTGTAGGACTGGATGTCGAACCTCAGTACTATTTTGTTAGTGACCAAAATGTGTATAGAACATGGAAAAGTACAGAAAGCTGGCACTGAATGTCTGGTCAGATTTGTTCTTTTTTGCTAATTTTTTGAGCGTGTAATTCATGATTTAATGGTATATTCATTAGACAAAGTTCTTATATGGATGCTTGTGTTGTGACAAATCACTTGTGCTGCTGACCGTTGCTTTTGGCATTTTAAATGAAACATTTTGCTGGCAGAAGATTTTGTCAGCTGTCAACTAATTAACATGAATGCCGTAGGTAACTTTCAAAGAGACCAACATCACACTCTGCTGTTTTCTGTTTTAATGTGAGTATAAATAAATTTTTCATTTGTGGGAAATATACCAGTAAAACCTTCATTCACATGAATATTTTAAGCTTATCACCTTAAATAAACTATTCTGTGTCAGATACACACTTAAATCAACAGTATCTTCTGCTGCTTATCTCATTTCCAGGTTGAAGCTGCATACTGTGAACATAAAGTTGGCTGACAGTCATGACTGTAGTGTTTCTGCCTTCTCAGCCAACAAAAAGTACAGATGTCAACTGAATCTTATGCAGCGGTTATCAGCCACGTTAGAAGCATCGCTCTAGTGTCCTACTGAGATATCTTATCTTTTTAGTTTGAGTCACAAGTATTGGAAACTGAACCTAAATGCGTTGGAAAAGCAGATTCTACTCGATTCATATTCAGTTAAAAAGCTATCAAACACAACATTAGTACCGACACTAGTCTCAAAATATTTCTGTACCTAGCCATGGTTGCAAAGTGATTTGAAAAGGACCTTGTGATCTTTAGAGGTAAAAAGCAAACATTACAATGGATCCAGTCTAAGACGAGAATTCTGTTCTGTCTTTCTTCTCTCGTGCACAAATGGAAAATTGGCCTTATGTTTATTGAGAATAGATGTGATAAAGTGTGCACTGTTGTTGCACCCAGGCTACAGAGTGGACTATCAGTTGTGCCATTACACGGCACTCACAGAAGAGAAGAGGATCAGGTTTTGTGTTCTGTAATGAACAGGTATTAGACCCAGGTTGCGTTGCTGTGGTACATCTGTCTGAAAATATCAAATTCTTCCTCTGTGTTTTGTGCGAGGAAAAGGTGCTTTTGAAGGTGAAAATAAAAAAGGGAGGAGAAATGAAAAGTGCCTGCTTGAAACAGAATAGGAAAGCAGATCCCACATTTAGCTTCATTTACACTGGCTGCCTCTTCAGATCTGATTCTTTCCTCACTTGTTTCTGCTAAATCATTTCATCTCTTCACTGCTGTTAAGGTCAAATGATGGAGTAAATTACAGGACATTCCTGTATTTTCCCTGCCTCAGAACCACTGCGTAAAACAAAAAAATGGATCCAAATCAGCAGTGCAGCACAAGGCTATGTCTGGATTTTGGCCGATGATTCATGAGAGCAAGTACTGTCCTGCTGTGTCCGACTAGGTGCTTTCAGCGGTGCGCTCTGCTCGCTCACAGGGGTCATGCCAGTTTGTGCCTCTAGCCAGCTCTGTTGCCAGACTAAGTCGGTCCACCTGAAACCTGATTCTTTAGCGGCAGTGAGTGACTCCGCCAGACACCATGGCTTTCACTGAGCAGTATAGGAAATGTTCTGTCCTGCTGTCTGCCAGTAACGGGCATCACACCAGCGGACGGACACTCTCACAGAGCCAGTGGGTGGCTGCAACCTTGTGCTTTACTCCGGCCATATTTGAGTTTAGGTTTTTGGTCTGACACAGAATGACCCCCAAAATAGCCCCCCCCCCCCCCCCCCCCCACACACACACAATGAAATTCAATCATACAGAACAGCCCTTTATGAGGCTTATAATGTTCAGTTGTTGACAGAAGGGCTGGGCCTGTTGCTGCATTACTGCAGTAACATGATGCCTACCACAGAGCCGAGCTCATTACCGTCATCACTGCTACTACTTTCAGTAATTCGTTCTCTCAGTCTTCATTTCCTGGGAATGATGCACCATATTAATGGAAAGAACACATTATTATTATTATTATTATTATGTATAATAACCTTAAATGTTTATGAGTTTATCTGAATAAACAAACAGGATTTAAGTGTCTGTTCCGCTCTGGGATGTGCTGCCCTATCACCATTATGAGAAAAATCACTGTTCCATCTGTCACTGTGCAATCATAGGAGAGGAGTTGAATCAACTTTATAGAAATTGCAGCCGCACTTGGTGGCGGTGTGTTGAAATGGCATTAAATCGAAAGGTTTTTCTGATATTTTTCCACTTCCATATAGAATATTCTAACTATTCTAACTTGGGGTCATTAGCTGACCCCACAAGTGTAACTATC